TAGTTCACTACTCCTAACTCTCGTCGGATGCATCATCATTGGTAGATTGCAGAATCTGCTTGCGTTTCATGTGAACCTGATAAAAAGGATATTTAGGAGGAAAGAAACTGAGTTGCCTTTGCTTTTGCTTCAAAGCTATGTTAATGTTACTAAACAACATTTTAAGCGAGATTATGTACTAAGGAGTGAGATGTTGTCTGTGAGACAGAGAAAAAAGAAATGGCCGGTTTGGCCATCGGTGTTTTTAGCATGAAGTCTGGTGAACGTGCGCTCCTGCATATTGGCTGGGAATTAGGATATGGGAAAGATGGAAACTTTTCTTTTCCGAATGTTCCTCCTATGGCAGACTTGTTATATGAGGTTGAAGTTATTGGATTCGATGAAACAAAGGAGGCAAGTTTTTTATCTTTAATATTATCAGTTTCTTGTTTCCTTACCCTGATAACTCCACAACCAAGTTTTATCCCAAGCTCATTGCTTACAGCTGACTTAGAAGGTTGGATTGTACAGGGAAAGGCTCGCAGTGATATGACTGTGGAAGAAAGGATTGGTGCAGCTGACAGAAGGAAAATGGATGGGAATTCTCTGTTTAAGGAGGGTAAACTGGAGGAGGCCATGCAACAATATGAAATGGTTATGGATCTTTCTCTAGCAATTACGGTCAAAGTGTTGTTTTTCAGGCATACGCGAGTCTTCTCAAAGCTCTTGTGTTTTCTTTCGTCTCTTGATAAATTATGGTTTTGCTGTCTCAGGCCATTGCATACATGGGGGACGATTTTATGTTTCAGCTGTATGGGAAGTACCAGGATATGGCTTTGGCAGTTAAGAACCCATGCCACTTAAACATGGCAGCGTGCTTGATCAAGCTGAAACGATACGATGAGGCAATTGGTCACTGCAACATTGTGAGACTCATCAAAGCATTCATCGGTTAAGATCATTACTTTTTTTATACTCGGTTTCTCAAAATCTAAACAAGCTGGAAAACTTTTCAGGTGTTGACAGAAGAAGAGAAAAACCCAAAAGCGTTGTTCAGAAGAGGGAAGGCGAAGGCAGAGCTAGGACAGATGGATGCAGCTCGTGATGATTTTCGAAAAGCTCAAAAGTATGCTCCTGATGACAATGCGATTAGAAGAGAGCTACGAGCAATTGCAGAACAAGAGAAAGCTGTTTACCAAAAGCAAAAAGAGATGTACAAAGGAATATTTGGAGGAAGAGAAGAAAGTGGTGCCAGGGCAAAGAGCCGTAACTGGTTAATAATGTTATGGCAATGGTTGGTTTCCCTTTTCAGCCGGATCTTTCGACATCAGAGAGTTAAAGCAGATTAAGGTATGAGTGAAGCTTGAACAAATTCAAATATAAAAGACCAAAGTAAAAGGTCAACGTCTCAATTGTTATACACTATGTTGCAATGACTTTGAGAGACATGGAATAATCGCTTTTATCTTATTAATGGTTTGTGAAGAATTTACAAAACCCAATGAAGAATTGGGGTAGAAGAAGCTATCTTGTGTAAAACTACCATGAGGGATTGGGGAGGCTGACATGGGTCCAGGCAAAGTAAGCACAGACCATTAGCTGAGAGATATAAACATAAACTGCAAAAGAGAGACTCATAAGCATCAGATCCTTCATATCTCCTTTCTTCTCTGGCTTCAGATTCTTCCCAAACTTCTCAGCATCTGAAATCAACCTTGTCACTGTTCTCTGGATCACTCCTTGGCTCTCTTCCGGTAATTTCTGGTTCCGACAAGACATCACAGTCAAAGATCTGACGCTGTGTCTGCTAGAGGCTTGTCTCGTTGTACGGTGGTTGTGGTGTGTGCAGAGTGGGTGGTAGAAGGTAGAGAGAGCTGCCATGAGAAAGATGAATAGAATAATTGAAGAAGAAAGTCTGAATAGTTTAGGGAATCAAAAGTGAGCAACAAAATATCTGAATTTTTTATACGATGGGGACAAAAATGATTTAACAAAAAAAAAAAAAAATGTGTGGATAAATAGATCTATTCTAACACACGGAGAGTCACAGCATCTTGAGTCCAAAATCTATCCAGCTCATTTTCAATAAACACACAATCAAGTGATCAACACATTATGATGACATGTGAGATAAATAAGAAAAAACAAAAATTAAAAAATAAGTCAAGCTTCTCTTTCTCGAAAGAGTGCTTCGTCATATATGTCCCTATCTTCTTCTACCCTAATATTAGATTATTCGGATAAGTTTTAAATTGGTTGCTGAAAAACCCGTATCAACTCTCAATATAATTTATTTAAAGATATTGGCCCACGCAACAAATTGCGATTGAGCAGCAACTGTGTCGATTTATCCTTTTTTTTTTGTTTCCCAAACTATTTTTTAAATTAAATATTTTCACGTGTCCCCATTCGCTGACGTCACATTCTTCTTTTTCTCTTTTTATTGTCTCATGAGAAATCGATTAAATTCATTCGAATTCAATCCTCTTCTTCATCTTCGTCTTCTCCTTCCTCAGGAAATTCCTAATTCTGTGTGTGTGTGTTTCAGAGATGTTCTCTTCCTCTACTCTCGTCTATTCTCTTACCCTCTTCCTCTCTCTTTCTCTTCTCTTCTTCCTCTTCTTCCTCTCCCCTCACATCCTTCTCTCTTCCTCCCGCCACAACCTCCTTTCCACCGCCGATGACCTCGACGACCTCTCCCTCTTCCACCGCGCCGCCGTATCTTCCTCTAACAACCGCCGTCTCATCTCCCTCTCCCCTGTTCCTCCCCCTAAGATCGCTTTCCTCTTCCTCACAAACTCCGATCTCACCTTCCTCCCTCTCTGGGAAACCTTCTTCCAAGGCAACGAGGATCTCTACAACGCTTACATCCACGCAGATCCATCCTCCGGCGTCTCTCCGCTTCTCGATTCGTCAATCAACGCCAAATTCATCCCGGCGAAGAGAACCGCACGCGCCTCCCCGTCGCTAATCTCCGCGGAACGGCGGTTACTAGCTCGAGCCATCCTCGACGATCCAAACAACCTCTATTTCGCACTCGTCTCGCAGCACTGTATCCCTCTCCATTCATTCGCTTACATCCACAACCACCTCTTCTCCGATCGATCCTCTAACCCTAGCTTCATCGAGATCCTCTCCGACGAGCCTTTCCTTCCCAAACGATACAACGCGCGAGGCGAAGACGCGATGCTCCCTGAGATCCGTTACGAAGACTTCCGTGTGGGATCTCAGTTCTTCGTCCTGGCGAAACGTCACGCTCTGACGGTGATCAGAGAGAGAAAACTGTGGAGGAAATTCAGATTACCATGCCTCGACGCCGAGTCTTGTTACCCTGAAGAACACTATTTCCCGACTTTGTTGTCTCTCGAGGATCCTAAAGGATGTAGCCACTTCACGCTCACACGTGTAAACTGGACCGGTAGCGTCGGTGGTCACCCGCACACGTACGGTGCATCGGAGGTTTCGCCTCAGCTGATTCACACGTTAAGGAGATCCAATTCGAGTTTAGACTACTTCTTCGCTAGAAAATTCTCGCCGGAGTCACTGCAACCGCTGATGGAGATAGCAGATGCTGTGATTTTCAGGGATTGATTTTGAGAATCAGTAAATAAAATAGGTAAACACTGAACCACCACTTGTAGGTTTACTTACCATTTGGAAACTACTCGATGAATCTGATTGGGAAAATTGACCAAAATGTGGAAGAAAAGAGTAGCTGAGAATGGAAAAGTTATTTGTATAGAGATGGAGGAAAAAAGATTGTATATTGATATATTATGAGTCCAGTTTGGATTGATTGAGAGTTTGTTTACTCAAGTATCAACTTTCTTTGGTTTCATATTTTTTTTCTTGTGTCAGGTTTCAGGAAAAGTTTAGAAGAAGTCTGTTATTGGCGCTCGAAGAAGAGTGGCAAATAAAGATGAAAGTCTTCGTGTGTGTGTGTGTGCTTCAAAATCACCCTATAAATAAATTCAAAAAAAAAAAAAAAATGGGTGTGTTTTTTTACACTGTATATTAAGGAAAGTGGATGGAGATATGGGTGTAAAAAAATGTAAATAGCTAGCTCCCCACCCAATTCACCAAGTTGGCCAAATCGGCTTCCTTTTTATTTCAGCTCCTTCTAAGGGGGAGAGAGAGAGAATGGTAAAAAGGCCTTCCTTCTCTTTGTTTCGATTAAGTGTGAATGAAAAAATATGTTTTATCGTCTTTAGTCTTTGAGTTGTCTTTTGTTACTTTGTGCCTGGTGGGTTACTAATTGCAATGTAACAAGAACCACTATTTGTCAAGCGTGAAGAAGAAAAAACATATCTCGAGTGAAATGATGATATTTGATGTAGAATTCCTATACTTGATTGTAACAATAGTACATGATATGCTATGTACCCACAAAAACAGAAGAGTACAAAAGGAGATGAATAATATCATCATGAGTTTGCTTCTAAACTCTCCCACAACTGGAAGGTTTTTCTGATTACTGGATCAGCTGAAAATCCTTCTGCGTATGCCCCTATCGCCACTAACAGGCTCCTCCATTTCTCCCCATTGTCCTGCACATCACCAAATTCTCTCTGTTACTTATCTCTCTTTGCTTCTTTCTCTGTTTTTCTTTTTCTTTTTACAACTAGTATATCGTAGTAGATGTGATTATGTAAGCCCTTTTGAATAGATAATAGTCATACTAACCTCTGGTTTCTTAAAAACAAGATCTCTCGTTTCAAACGGTACCATGTAATCGGGGAGATCAGTCCGTAAGAGCGCCTACCATTTGAACTAAAGTCCGTAAGAACATTATGAAACTCAAAAGCTGAAACAAATGGGAGAGGAAAAATAAAAAATAAAAAAACCTACCAACTTCTTGCTTAGCATGGCTTGATCCGCGTGAGCTATTAAGTTCTGTTGCAAAGATAAGTAATACAGAAAAATTAGGCATTGCATGTCAAAGAAGCTCTAGCTTGCCTATGCAGAGCCACTTCACTCACCTCTTTTAATCGTCCCTCCTTTATTTCATCAACAGACTGCAACAGATTCTCCAATGTGCCTGATGGTACAATAGTGATTAATAGATCAATGAACTCAAAGCATATAGTATGTGTCAACGACTAACCAAATCTAGATATCAGTTCCACTGCATGCACGTTCCCAATTCCATCAACTCCTGCACGTAACACAGACATCATTAGATCACTTTAGCCATACCCTGTCATCAATTGCTAAAGTTTTGTATCTCGCCATATTCACAAACGCAGAATATCAGAAACAATTCCGTAAGGAGTGAAGGAGGTGGGCGTAACCTGGAATATTATCAGACTTGTCTCCAGCAAGGGAGATGATATCAACAAACTGTGCTGGCTTCAAATTTCCAAACTTTTTAGCAAAATCTTCTTCTCCAAAAGAAACCATCCTGGCCATAAGAAGCGGTAGCATTGAGACCACTGAGTGAAGAAAGCAGACATATTAAACAGCCACGGGATATCTGAAATATATTTTCAAGCCACATCTATATCCTAATTACATAAGAAAACATGCCCACAGTCTAGTACGGTTTCTATAATAAGCCAAAGTTCTATAATGAGACAATGATTCATCTAACATGAACTTCTTACTCCGATCCGCGTGATGCTATTCGAAGAAGACGCAGCGAGGGAGAAAGAATCTGAAAGAAGTCTTTGTCCGGAGAGACGACTCGTACCTGTGAGGATGCAACAAACAAATAATGAGTCCACATCTATAAAAAGGACAAATTGAACAGACTCGTAGCATTAAACAAGCAGATAACACTTCTTGAATAGCTGACAATGATTACTTTGAAACCGGCACCAATGCTTCGCACAGCCAGTGTTCCAATAACATCATCAGCTTCTACACCTGGCACCTGTCTTCATAGAATTTCTACCCATTAGTGAGTAATCATCACAACAAAAGGAAATATGACAATCATGTGTATGGTTTACCTCTATAACCTTTATAGACATCGCCTTGATGGACGCTTTGAGATACTGAAGTCCTTGAACTATGGTATCAGGTGTGGGAGGACGATTACTTTTGTAGGCAGGGTACATGTTATGCCGGAAGTTCAAGCCTGTAAAATTACAAGCACAGAATAAAGATAGGTTTAGCATTGGTGAGACTAGATAAAAATCATCCTTCACGCACTGCACAAAGAAAAGGGAGAATCATGTCGAGATTAAGAGAGCAGAAAAAGCCTTAAAGAAGACAAGCGTTTTCATCACTTAGAAGGAGAGAGTATTAATTTGACATCCTCGTGACATCCTCAGTGATGATATTACATTCATAACCATCGAGTCAGCATACTAACTTAATTCACATGCAAAAATACCCATTTCTTATACTGTCAACTGATCTAACTAAGATCATTTACTATAGTTTGACCAAGGGAAACGTAGCTTACCTTTAGAAGAATGATAACCATTTGATGTATTAGAAGTACTGCCATAAGTAACTCCTGAAAAAGGCTCTATTTTGTCAAAAAAGTAAACTATAGACACTAAAAGTACCCAAAAACCTGAATACTTCCTACAACACCACAGAAAATAGCTAGACGTTCATGAATTTAACAAATTGTGGAAGACACAATGTCTGCATACACTAGGACTCACCATCATGGTCGAACACCACCTGCATGGACACGGATAATTAAGTCAGCAGGCTACCCAACATTAAGCAGTAAGGAAATGTGAAAAGAGAAAACTACAAGCTCTTCATCTGATTATCATTTATGACAGAGATAAAGCAAAATAAAAGATAAAATGGAAAGTGGAATATACCGCCACATGGGATGGGAGAAACTTCAGAACATCAATTATCTGCGAATGAAACACAATGAAGAAAAGGTAAGAAGCCGAATCCGAAAGTTAGAACAGTAAACAAGATAGAGATACTTAAGCCTAAAGTTGAGAAACACAATTATAAGAAACCACGATTACTTGAACAGCCACAGTAAATGCTACAAGAAGCTTCATCCCATCAACAGACTAAATACAATATAAATGAACTCTCGAGCACAGCATGAAAGATTTCACTTACAAGAGAAAGAGCTGAAAATATTGTTAAAACCCAGTCCGCGTTTCCATCAGCGTGAGTCAGATGACCATGATTCAACCTTGCTACACTTTTCCCAATCAAAATGACAGTAAGTGTGCGACCAGATGAAAAAAAAAAGAATTACATTCTATATATACATACCTAAAAGCTTATAGTAAGCCCTGTACATAATGGATGTCCCATCAATTAGCATCACCCTGCCATTTGAAGAAGCAGCACTAATTTTTGTTGTTCTTTCGTCTGATTTGAAGGGAGATGTTATAGACTCCGGCGCAACATGTTCATTTTCAGAATAAGTCACCGTATTGGAGAATTCAGAAACAGCAGAGACGGAACTGCAATAGCACTGAATTACAAGAAATCTATCATGTTCCCAGAAGAAACATTCAAATATTGACTCAGAAAACCGGAATACTGCGTAACGATTACACACTAGCTACGAAATCTTACACTAATCAGCTCGATAATTCAGATGTAGACAAAAGACAAAGTAAGAACACAGATAAATAATAACTCAGAGACTTGCGCGATACAGTATAAGTGAGCATCACCTTCGCGATGCGTGCAATGGAAGGAGAGATAAGAGAGGAGTTCCTATTGCACAGATTTCCAATTCTCCGAGGGTAACAGAGATTTCTCCATAGTAAACGGGAGTGATGAGACAGATGCATCGTCATGAGGTCACTGAAATAACTGTAACGAAGGTGCGTTTGGAGACACAATCACAAGTAACAGAATCAAAACACAAATCGGCGACGTAGACGAAGAAGCGGGAAATCCAAGAGCAAGCGAAGAAAGGATAGGAACCTTCCAAAAATGGGGGAAAGGGTTTTTTTTCAAGGAGGAGAAGAAAGGATTTTACCGCTTTTCTGTGTCTCCGTGTTTTTCTCGAATGAAATCTTCTGGCTCCCAAAAAAAAACTCGCCGAATACTCCATTTCGTAGTTAAGTGGGCCCAATCTCAATATGGGCCTTAAGAGCCTATAACCTTGAGTGTTGCTTTCTTCTACTTCAACAAAAACCTTTTAGACACAAGTGTGGAAAACCCTAGTGACGATCAACGATGACGCAGAAGAGCAATCAGTTCAAAGGCCAACAGAAGAGGAAGGCTGTTGCCCTAAATCGCCATGGAAAATCCGTTCAGACTCGTAAAGGTATTCACTTTTCGGCTATACATATGAATCCCTCACGATTTTCGTTTTCTCGGATTCATATCATCTTCTTCTTCTTCCAGGGAAGAGAAATGTGAAACCATCAAAGACAACGAAAGAGTTAGACACCGATCGGGTAATTTTTCTATTTTCTTCCATTTTTTGATCAATCTCAGTCGATTTGATCAAATGGTATTCTTGATAATAAGTGATATTGTGTTATTGAATGGAGCAGGAGCTTACGAAATTCATAAACCATTGCAATGAAGTGAAAGCAGCCAATGCGGCTTGCAAAGAAGGTGGTCAACTTAATATCCTCAAAGCCGAATCTCAAGCTGAACCATCCAAGAAATCCGCCAAATAGAGGAATCTGTTTTTTTTTTTTTCCTTCCATTGTCTCACTTTTTGTATTTCTTACAGCAAACAATCAACCGGTTTTGTCTTCGAATCAGTTATAATGTTATTGTTCCCAGTTTTGTCAGAAATACAAACAAAGTATGTGCTTAATAATGCCTTAAAACAGAGTAAAAAAGTATTGACTTCACGAGTGGTTGAATTTCCATACGCTTATGAATTTACCACTGTGAGCTGCTACTACCTTCTTCATCCCCATTGCTAAGCAACTGATTTGAGGCCGAGTTTTCCTCTCCATTTTATCAATTTCAATGTCTTGAGAAACTCTTTTTCCTCTCCTTTTCTCAACCACCACTTGGTTGCTCCTTCTCAAAGTTGTTGAGCCATTGTCGTCCATAATACAGCTAGACAGAACTCGACCACTCTTCTGATCAATCACTCGCAGTACACCGTCTATTCCACCAGCAACCATAACCGATGTATCGTTCCGTAACTGTTGTATCGAGTACACGACGTTAGGACTCACTCGTTTTTCCCACAACTGTCCCATTTTCCTGTGATAAAACTTGGTTACAATACATCTCAAAATAGTGTTTTTGTACAACCCAATTTAAAACTTGCATCTTTCTTCACATACCTGAGGTCCCAGCATGAAACATATCCAGCTGTTGTTCCAGAGAAGGCAAGATTGGAGCGTTGGTTAAAACAGATGGTCTGTATACCTGTAAAGAATAAGAGGGGGTTGCTTTACGCATTTTCTCTGGAGATGCTATCTGAAATAGAGTTTGGGTTTTACCTCCTGCAGTTATCGTGGATTTAAGAGTAGCCACTGGTTGATCTGACAATGGGTCAGACACTGTTATTCTCCCGAGTGAAGACCCGCTAAGAAATAGTTGATTGTCGCTCAAAGATAAGCACGTTATTGGCCCACCGTTCGTCCTGCCATTAGATAGTTTACAGAATCAGCCAATATGATTTAGGCTCTCATATTAAATTGTAAACAGCATTCATCACGATAACCAATATTTACAGCTTCACTTTTTCGGAGTTCCAAGACACAGAATACGTAGCTTACCTAATGATCTGTGAACATGTCTTACTGTACATATCAAATACACGAGCTGTTCCATCCTCGCATCCTACTACAGCTTCTGGATCAATGTAACTGGTTGATGAAGAAACAAAAAAAAATCTTTATCAGTGTGGATAGAGAAGTCACTCTCACAGGCGCTAGGTGGCCAAGTTGAAGTATCATGGCGATCATTGTCAGGTAACATGGACTATCAGTTGATCCATCTATAGGAAAAGGGAGCTCAGATTTCAAGAAAGAGGAAGGTTCTCAATAGCTCAATATTTCTAGAGTATCTTTTGACATTACCGCATACAAAGGCCCCTAGGAATCGTGCCTTCACGAGATGGAAAGATGCTTCTTTGTCCATTTCTCCTCCATATGCTAATGCGGGTACCAACCAAGCCAACAATCTCAAAATTAAAATTCAAAGTTAGAGATTTTACCCTTGCTCAAGATAGTTTGTTTTTCTAATTTTGAATCTATATAGCCAATGACATAATTTAGCCAAAAGGAAAATAGAGTACTTACACAGCGAATAGCCAGTTACAAGAGTGACCGATCCTAGAGATCTAGTGAGACAAAAGGTATATGAAAAAACTCACTGCTATACTAGTGCTTTCAGAAATTCAAAGCAGTGACTCGGTTGAGGTTTACGTATTTACCACTAATTTCATTATTCAGCTCATTGCCAGTTCAAGTAATGAACATTATTCTTGAATGTTATGCAGCTGAAACATCCATGATATACATATGAGTGTGCTTGAGGTTTACCTTACTCTCATCAAAATCAAAGTCGATCAAGGAAGAAGCATCAGGAAGTGAGTATTCTTCCATGCATTTGTAGCTGTTTAATGACCAGAGTCGCATAACCTGATAAAGTAGTCAAAACACCTTTGCCAATAAACAACAAATAGAGGACAACACATAATCAAATTGCATACTAAAAAGCCAAATTACTATTGGGAACGTTTACCTTATCACCAACGCCAGTAAGAAGCAAACCCTTCTTCATTCGACACTGAGAAACTCTGACATACATGACATTAGAACTCAGACATACATGAACATTAGTAGAATAAAACGAATTGGGAACATTTGCCTCACCGGTGTGAATGAGCTTCCCATCGCTCAATATCGATTCGACCCCTTAGTAATGCCATCTTGTGATGTTTCATTGCAAAATCCTCCACGTCTATCTCAGCTGGTCGCTCCAGTGACGTGGAACCGAGATGGTGCATCTTCCGGCATGAAGCTTGTAGCAGCTTCAGCCTCTTGATGACAGCATTCCTCAACATCAAATAGAGAAATTTCGAAAAAGCTCAACACGGGTTTGCAAAATTATTCCCAACTAAGTCTCTTTGCGGGAAATCCAAACTTCAAACCATGAAAATCGGAGAAAAAAAAGCTAGGGATTGGATTGGAGGGAGTACCAGGAATTGCAGACGACGGTACAGTGAACGAGGTCAAATAAATTAAGAAAAGAGAAGATGATGCATAGTATGTCGGCGTCTAAAGATTCGATCGACGTTGGTACTCTGCGTCGCATCTTTCTGGCCGATGACTCGCCGCCGCTAGTCTCTGTAATCACCATTTCTTTTCTCGCGGTTTTGGTTTTTGCGACTTGTGAGGAGAGAGAACTTTCTGTGTGAGCCAGAGGCTCTTGGTTTAGTAGTGATGATGTTTTTTTCTTGTTCGAATTAAATTTAATTTTAGTTAGAGATGGATCAAAAGAATTAAGGAGAAATCAAAACGTTGACCAAAAAAAAAAGGAGAAATCAAAACAACCCCCCCCCAAAAAAAAAAAATATACCTTAATAAGAGAAAAAAACTGTGAAATATGGAAATAACAAGAATTTTTTTATTACACTCGTTCCTCTCCAGTTTAGTAGAAGAAGATCATGTTTCTTTTTAATTTGTTCTATTTTTCATTTTCCTTCAGCAGAATGAATGTAATTTGTTTTCAACCACTTTTATTGCAAATGGTGATATACTAATATTTGAGAGGAATATAGGGTAACACATAATTTTTGTTCCTCTAAGATAACAACCATTTACACCATTAATTTGTATTTGCATAACAAAATTGATGTGGTTTTATGACATGAGTTCTTAGGCAGAATTGGAGTTTGGTTTTCTAATCTGGTTCGTCTTCTTAAAATTAAGGGAAAAAATAGAGACATGCATGTCGGAAGTTTCCATATTTTGAAAATAATTGCTCTATTTTAAGTAGTATGTATATAGTATCGAGTTTCTTGATGATGAAGCAATCTCTTTTGGGTATGAATATGAATATAGAGTAGCACTCGAAAAGTCACTTCCAAGGGAGTGGCTCTACGTACGTATACTTCTTTAATAGTCCCGTCATCTTTTTTACAGCTGATTAATTCGTAATTATGGCCGAGTATCAATTAACGAAACAGTATATAATGGTGAGGAGTCTAATGATTCGCTCAAAGAAGCTGAAAACATGGATGTCAATGGCTTCCAAGTTCTTCCTTCACAGGTATCATGAAATTAACAATTGTGCACACTTCTTGTTACTTTAAAACTTATGGTCTGAAGTCTATCAAAGTTTAGGCTTTCACTGAGATAAGAAAAAATTAATCTTATTGTATGGAACTTGTATTCCGTTCTTGGGAAGTTCTTAATTAGGCACTTTTGCAGGAAGCTGTCACATTTTGTAATTCATTGAGCAGAGATTGGCGTTTGAAGAGTGACACGGACACGGTTATATGAACCTTGATGGTCAAGTAATCCTCTCTGATGTATGAAAACAGAAAGTGGCACTTGAAGACTCGTGGTCGAGCCAGTTGGCTTTAGCCTCTTGCTCTTGCAAAACTTGTTTAATTTTTACTAATCGTCCATCGATCTTAATTAATTCGTAGTAAGTCACGATGAAGTTTTAACCGCATGTGGAATGATTCATAGGCAAGGAATAATGGAGACTGAGAATATAGACTATGATGAATAAGCTTAGTAACTGGGTGAGAAACAGAGTCCTCTGTTTTCAATTATGATACGTAATTACACATTTTCTTAGTTAAAATCTATGAGGCCTATATTTGATAGACATCCAGACATTGCAGCAGGGTTCAAGTCAAAGAACCAACTGAGAAAAGCATGTATGAGTTCCCTTCTCAGCTTGACCGAGATGCTGTGCCAATCACTTCAACAACTATCCAATGAAAGAAGATCTTGTCGAGTCAGACATTATATGAAAGAATCAGGATTTAAGGTGGATTTGTTGGAGAAGAAGCTGGACCAAGTAAAAGAAAAGAAGGAGAAAGAGCTCTCTGGTTTGGCCATACTCCAAGAAACTGAGGAAAATTTACTAAATCTGAAGCAATAAGTGTGCAGAGCTGGATGCTCTAGTGGATGAGCACAAGGAAGAGTTGTTTGATGACTTAAGCTCTAAGGCATTTAGTTTTCTGGTATCTAAGTTTCGCCCTTGGCTTTCCAAAATAAGAGCTCATCATATCTTGTCATTAAATATGTCTAATAAGTGGGTATTTTTTAGTTTTGGATCATAACTCGACCCTGACAACATCACGACCGCAAGATGCCTCGAATACTATTTGCCACTCTTGCATAGATAATCACGCTCGGCAGGATTTTTGGGCCTGCAGTTTCTACTATGAAAGCTTGATTACAAGGTGGCTGTTAATAAATCTCTTTATCTCTCTTGCTACTGATGTAAAAGGAGGAAAATGGTTCCCAACCAAAAAAAAAAAAAAAAATATAGCATTGATCGACTCTGTTGACTTGTGAGGGGATTGGCTTCAGTAGGCTTCACCACATGACCGAGAGCAATACTAGCAAAAGTTGATAAAGCTTACTCACTTACTTGAAGAGTCGTGGTCAAGCCAGTTGGCTCTATCTAGGTTTTGCTTAATATTCATTGGTCTTACCATTTATTTTATCCATAATTATGACACCATGAGCCAAGGCTGTTAGTATTCACCGCACCTCGCTGAGAGATGCTTTAAGTTTCTTCATATATATCTATTGGAGGAAGAAACTTCCAAACAAGGCAGAGGTCTTTTGCAGTGGCTCTAGTAAGTAAAGGCTCTTTATTCTCTGTATATTTTTTTTTCTGTATGCATCTCTCTTGATTTGATTCTCAACAAAGCATTTTTCTACTCTGGTTTCTCTTCCTCATGCACCTACACTTTAACTGTCTTCATATCAACGGTGAAGAATTCAGAGTGCATATCAACTTCTGTTCTTCATGATTCATATTAGAGCATTGACTTTTGTTTTTCCTGAATTGGAGTAGAGTATTGCTGCATTCTTTTTGCTTCTTAATTAGCCATTAGTCCTTTAGCTTTCACTCGAACCCTGTTTGATTTCTGAACATCAATAACTGTACTTAATTTTGCTACTGAGAGGCTCTGAGTAATTACTTGATTCTTTATTTTTGGTTAAATTTGTTTGCTTGAGATTGTGCTATATTGGCGTAAGTTTATGATTTGCATGAGTGATATTCAATTTTGTCTATTTTGTTTACTCAAGTTGACTCTTTATTTTGAGTAATCTTTACATCATCAATGGTGAAGCCACTTGATAAGAAGTTTGGTTGGGTAATAAAAGGACTCCTCTTTGCAATCCGATAAGTGTTGCAAATGGTTAAAAATTAACCTTTTTTCTTATCATGTTTGTTCGTCTATGGTTTTTTTTTTTAATATATTATTCTATTCAGGAGTACTTGAAGGCACAAATTTATAAGATCATGAATGGGTGTTTTGCTGAAGTTAATTTGTTTCATGTCTATAATCTGTATCATCTTTATTTGATCATGGTGCTCCTTAATTGAACATTTTTTGGGCATTTCATTCAATGTCATGTATATTAACCAACCAACTCCAAGAGACAACATAGTTTAAGTACTATTATTAGTCTTATAATAAGTCAATTGTGTTGTATTAAGTTTTGAAGCTTGACTGGTCATGTATTAGTTCTCTAATCATAATTATGCATGTTTGAGTGAAATAGATGAATTTCAATAATAAATATGTTTCAACGTTTACCAATAATAAAACCAGTAAAACAAAATTTTTATCAAAACATTATTAGCCACTTTGTTACATAATAATGTTTACTGACATTTGTTTTTTTTTCTTATAGATATTTGCAGTGGAACAATTTCCCCGAAGCATTATATATTGATTCTATACCTTTTGAATTTCCTCTACTTTTGGGATGGTTAAATCTATTGCCTAAAGGAAATGATAAGAACAACTTTGTAAATCATTTCCAAAACAAGCTTGACAACATGATGGAAAATCAGGTAATACTTCTTTATCACTATATAAACTACTTATATATGGTTATAATTTTTGTTGTAAACACAATACTTGATTATATATTCACTGGTTACATGACAACCTTATAAACTTTCTGGTCGTAACCTTGAATTGCCTGATGAGTACAAAGATCATATTGATATATTCGTGCACAACTTATATTTGCTTTAATGTGGTCGCATATAATTGCCCTCATAAGTTTTTCAAGCAATTGAGACAAGACAGCACAAGAAGTCAAAAATTGACATGAAAACACGATTTTGGTGTCTACGTTTTTATGTTTTCTCAAAACGTCTAAAGGCCTTTTAGTAATTTAGCATTTTTTCTTCTTTAATTCTAGTCCTCTTGCCCAATCACACATCGCTGAAGTGAAGAACAACTCGAAATTATGATTTCCGTTTGCAGTATTTGGATTGGTCGCTCGCAACTGAACATTACCATTATATGCCGGATTTTTTTTAAAAATCGGTGATTTAATTAAATAATTGTTATTGTCAAAAATATAACAATGTTGAATAAATAAAATGGTAACATTCACACTTATATCATCAGCAGAAAGTCATTATCTGAGGTGACCGTTAATACCGTATAAGGTGAGTTCACGATCTCACTGTTACAAAATATTTTTGACATTAGTTTTATATATTAGCAATGCTATTTTCTTAGACTTTATATATTTTTTATTTGATTAATTGATTGAACCAGTGTATATGATTTGATTCTACCATTTGTTATTGGACAATCATAGTGCAGTCCTTTTCTTAAAATTTGAGGAAAACTGCTTTTACTAACAAATTAGCAAACCTAGTATACAACTAAATTACCAAACTTATATAGCTTCAGTTAATTAAATAGTTTACTTGGAGCCATGTGAAAAATTGTTAATTATTCAAAACATCCTACAGTAGCTGTAAAAAAAAGGTCTATGATAATATTATTAAACGTTATGTTATCTGACTTTCACGTGAGACAAGAGATAACACTTTGAATATATGAAGGAGGCATGTTCGTTACTTCCTAATTTTTTTAAGTGACACAAGGAGATCTCATTAATTGACATCATGAAGCCAAACCATTGTTGCATGATGCTTGCTTCTTGTAGCCTTCACTCATAAAAGATCTCCAAACGTAATTTTAGCAGGAGTTGGCACTTTTAGTTCCTGAAAATGATTTCACCAAAACTAAAGTCATTAGAAGCAACACTAGTAATGTAACATGAACAAAGGAAAAAAAAAAAAAAAACTAAAAGCCAAAGATCTTTAATGAGAGGCGCCAAATTTTTTCTTAAAAAAGCCTATGCATAGTTTCTGTTTTTGTTGGAATGTGAAATTTATAACTCAAAAAAAAAAAAAAAACTATCTACAGTCTACATCATACTATACTTCTTATGTTTGAGAGTTTAAAGAAAATATTTGAAAAAGAGAACAAAATTTGAATCAATTCATTTTCATTTTATCAAGCTTTTTGGGATTGTTGTACCCCAATTTGGCTGCAGCCATTTGTGGATCATTAAAAACCCTTTGTATATAATCAAGTATTTTAATCAGTGAGGCATCTTTCGAATTTTATTAAGAAAAAAAACGTCTGTCCTAGCTCCTATAAAATTAAACAAGCATTAGGACGAGCGGACAACTTTAGAAATGGGAAAGGGATTAAAAAAAACTTTCAACTTTCAAATCATCATTTGAACACAAAAAAAAAAACCAGAATTTAAAAGAAAGAAAGATGAAACGTACGTTAATGTTTTCACTCATACACAAACCAAATGCCTTTTGACTGGAAACATTATTGTAGTAGTATCATTCTCAAGTGATAAGAGAGGGTATGGTTTCCCAATCCCATATCGCACATAGGACATATGGAGTATCGTCCTCTTTGATTTTGAAAACTTGGATGACGCCGTAAAGACTCACATTTTGAGCTTCTACGTTCGATACAACCTTAGGGTCAATAAGGTTTTCTCCATTTTATCTCTAAGAATCCTTACGATCTCCGTTTCTTGGGGGATGTTTTTGCGTTAATATTAGCATCAAAACATATATTGGCATCCTATTAAGTCTCCAACAATTATCCCCTGGAAATAAAATGCATAGAACAGAGATCTAGGATGATATATATATATATATATATATATATATATATATAAGAGGAAAGAGGGTTTAAGTACGTAAAGGAAAATACTTTTGAGTATGAAGGTGATTCCACATGCATCCAGATTAATTTTCCGGTTTCTTCTCACCATAAGGCATAAGCCATGATTGAAACCCCAACGCCCTTTAATGAAACTCACCATTTTCTGTTTTGTTTTTTTGTTTCTGAAAACTATTGTCTCGGGTAGGAAGATGAACATACAAATAATTAACAAGCTGACATTAGAGAATTAACCAATTCTCTCCTTCATTATATTTTTTTGAAATTGGAACATGTATCCTTGGATTTATCAAAGCTTTTTTGGATTGTTGTACCCCAAATATGGTTGTGGATTCATGAGAAACAATCTTTGCTATGTAATTAAGAAGCATTAGGCCGAGCGCAACTTTAGAAATGGTCAAGGATAAAATCTTGCATTTGAAAACAACAAAACAACAGAGTTAATAGAAAGAATTAAGGATGAAACGCGTTACGATCTAGCATAACGTTCAGGACCAAAGGTATCTTCAACGAAAGCAAGGTGTGATTTCCCATCGGGGCACATAGGAGTATATATCCTTGTCTACGATTCTCGAAGGTTCCAACTTCCCGTAACGCGGAGGCTGGGGATCAATAGGCTTTTCTCCATCTATAAGACTTTTCCAAGAAGACCACACTGAGTGTGCCGGAGGAGCTTCGGCTTCTTGGACATCATCAGGCAGTACAACGAGAACATTGATTTCCCTCCCGACACACGCTTCTCTAAGAACACGTTCGATCTGTGTTGTTTGCGTGATGTTTTTTGCGATTAGCAACAAATTATAGTAAGGACTTTTAAAAAATCTTTGGTTTGCCCAAACACGAATGTCAAATAACATCCTATTAAGCCTCACATGTTTATCGCCTGGAAATCAACAATACAGATCTAGATTATTACATACATATATATGTGTTGTAATAAAAGAGAAGACAAGGGTTTAAAGCTTAAAGGAAATCACTTTTGCGTATGAAGGTGATTCCATCATCCAGATTATTATCTGGTTTTTTATCACCATAAGCCAGGATTGAGACCTCACCAACATAACCATTTTTCTCAAGAGCTGATCTGATAGTCTCATGATAAGAGTCACCAAAAGGGATAGGGAAATCTTCCACGTCCCAGAAAACACTTGTTTTAGCATCTGCGACGGACAAACGTATAAACATAAAAATTAAACAGTTACGAAAACGAAAAAAAAAAAAACATTTTGTTTAGATCTGCTAGTTTAACATGACAGATCGATCAGATGAGATCTTAATCCAGATAAAAGACCAAATAAATCTCGACCAAGAGATAGATCTTACCGACGTAGACCGAGGCTAGGGCCATGGTTTCGAGGGAGATCGGAGATAATTACAAACAAACCAAAAAAAAAAAAAAGAAGAATTAGGGCTACTGACTTGTTGAAAAGATCAGGGTTTAAGAGCATGTACATCACTAAAACTGTGTTTGGGGTTCATAGCTTTATTAAATTAATTTTTTATTTATTTGTGAACAGTTAAAAACTACTTCATGTTGGTCTTCCATTAGTAAACCCATATACGGGTTGTAAACCGTCTTCGTCTCTGTGTGTGGTCTCCGTCACGATCCCGTAAACCCAAAAATACACTCAAAACAATCTCTGTGAAATCACCGACTATGGAGCTTGCAGAAACCTATGCCTGGGTTCCGTCGACGGAGAGAGGTCGGAGAATCCTGATCTCAAGCGACCCGAAGTCCGACCATCCTCTACACAAATGGTCGATCCGTCGTGATTCTCGACCTCAACAATCCTTTGAAGTTCTCTATCTATGGCGAGCATGCTTACCCAGCCACGGTGGCGCCATACTCCCCGAACGGCGAGTGGATCACGATCATGTGCTGAAGAAGGAGTTTAAGGTTTTGGCTCAGTTGTGAAATGAGAGAGAAAAGCTCAGTGAAAAAAATTTGTCCAATCACGACCTGCCATGTATTATTCTGAAGAGACAGTATGTTTAACCCGCAACGCGAGTATTTATTCAGGTCTCTAGCAATTTTTTTAATTAAAAAATATAAGTAGAAGAGAAAATTTGCTGGAGACGTTTCTTTAATAGGTACCGATGGAGACGTTTCTTCCCTACTTTTAATATTAAAAAAATTGGGAAGAGACCAAAGACTGTATTTGCATTGCGGATGCTCTAAAAGCACCTCCGATCAGTCAACCTGAGTTTGGGGTTGTTAATTTTATTTTATTAATATTTCTGTAATTTTAGAACAGTAATAAATATTTATTTTATTAAAAAAAATTCCTGCGACCAATCAGATGCGAACACATCTCCTATTAACCCCTCAACTCAGGTTGTTAACTAAGAGACTGGATGCTGATATTTGGACATTTTTTATTTATTTTTAAATCAAAATACATATGTTTTTGTGCCAACATTCTTCAATGGAGCTGCTCTTAGAGCAACAAGTTTATTAGAGAAACTCATATAAGTTTTTTGAAGAATATTAAAATAATAAAATGAAGATAAGAAACTCATTAAATTAAATTAAGTTAAGTTTAGAATATCAGAGAAACCCACATCATCATCGGTGAGATTTGAGAAGAATAATAATGGAGAAAGTTGGGCCCAAACTTAGGGAAAGAGGAAGAGATGGGTCGTCGTCATCATCAGCCTGTGCTTCGTTGTTCGAGGTTTGTTTGTTTGATGGTGACGTTGACCGATCGTCTTCTCAGATCGACGAGCTCTTCTCCTCTGATTACCTCCGTTCGCGTCGTCGTTCATGTTGGAGAAGAGAAACGACGGAAAATCATGGAAATGGTGGAGAGGAATCAGAGGAATATCGAAAATGGTGGAGAAGAATCAGACAGAAAACAAAAAATGGCGTCACTGTGATTCGTATAGAGAAACAAGAAGACGACGAAAAAATAGGAGAGAGAGAAAATGTTGAAGAGAACCAACCAAACTCTGCCACTTCATCTGCTAGGATCGATCCTTAAAATCCTTAAATAAGGATCGATCTCTGTATTTAACTCCATTAATTCAATTAAAAAAAAACTCATTAAATTAGAAGAAACTTACAAGAAACTACCGATAATCATGGTCTTATATATTTAGTTTTTGGGCATTTTCATTTATTTTTTAACAGAAATGCTTAGGATACTGGGCCAAAAACCTGTCCTCATACTTCAATGGACATGGTAGCTGCGGAGGCCGAGAGACTCTCATTTAACGGTCATGATCTTGTAGCATATGTTCTCCAAGAAACTACTTTCTTTTCAGCCGTTGGATCTCATGACGTGCATGGTAAGCTAAATCTCGATTCTACCCTTGAAGCTTCACATATGTTTTAATTGTATATATAGCAGACGTGAACTATATAATCTATGTTGTCCAAAAAAAAGAAATTGAGCATTATTTTCTTTAAACATTTTTTATTCGAGAATTCCTGAAAAAATCTCTGTTGGTAGATTATGTCCACTATGAGGCCAAACTGCCTGAAACGTAAGATCATCCAAAGAAGTTAAAAACTTAATAATACGATCGCAGTTTTAGCAAAGTATTAATTCTCTTCTTTTGCATAAGAATATATATGACTGAGGAACAAACCCAATTAAGGGAAATCCTTCCTTTTACCTGAATTAACAACACCATCGTCAACAACAGTTCTTACCTGAACAAAACCAGTTCTTCCAGCAGATAAATGTAGCTCCTCCAGCAAGAAAAAACTAGAATGTTGAAAGTTCCCCCTAAGTTTTATTCTTTTGTGTCTGAGAACTATCCTACTTTGCTTATAGTTTCCCATTCTTCTTTTGTGTCACCACTTCATACCCCTGATGCCAATTGCATGATAATAGAATTGCAGATTGTGGCCATTCTGTTTAAGCTAAGAATATTTATGTATGACTTTACACACAAAAAAATTATAGCCACAGCAAAATTAAGGCCATTGTACAAGAATATTCTTACTGCCTCTGCCAGTGCTGCAAAGCCAACTTAATACTCCTAACTTTCTCGAAGCCTTATATAAATTCAACAAAAAAGCTGGACTGATCAGACCCTTTATACTTGCACTAACATGTCTATAGTAGGAACGACCACCAGGCCGTGAGGCTTTCCCAGGTCTACAAAAAACAATGAAACCATCCAAAAAGACAAATGAGCAATTAATCAATAAAGAATAATGACTAGCTAGGACATGCCAAACGAAAGAACAAGATCACAAGAAAAGCACCAGACCAAACTTGAAACAACACTAATTAAGCTCAGAATCAACATCAGTTTCTCTTGGAGGTTTCAGCATCATCAGTTTCTCTCTGACGTTTCGCAACGGAATTATCATCATCATCAGTTTCACTTTGACGTTTCAAAAGCAGCTGACTTAACCCCCACCGCTTGTTCTCGTTTAATTTCAGCCACGTACGTACAAGGACACATCACTGTTGATAGCATAATTTCCATTCCAAAGGCTTGACCAATGCCAAATAAAGCATACATCATGAAAAGGCGGTGGGCAGGTGCCATCAGGCACTACTAAGAAAACACCGAAACCAAGTTCATCCATAGTATCGAGAACATGTCCCATGTTCCCTTCCCTTGGGATGTCTTTTGCAATTACCATGATATTTTTATTATCACCTGCCCCGTCCGGTTCTTCAATATTATCGAACGTCCACGTAACCATGTCATAATACATACGATTAAGCCTCACAGTTTTATCATCCGATCCATATGTGAAAATAATTCCGGCTGCATCAAAGTGGTCATAAACTGGAGGCGGTTGCACCCTATCATAAGCATCGATTTCAATGCTACCATAAACGCCCTCTCTCTCTCTCTCTAAACTTTCTTTGATTTTCTGACGAACTGAAAAGAGATTTTGACCATCAGGGATTGGGAAATCCACCACGTCCCAGTAGACGACTGTTATATCATCATCTGCGAGAGGTTTCCATACAAAAATGGACATTATAACGCTAAAATGATTACCAAACGAACAAACAGAAAACATTAATCAGATCTAATCCTCCAGGTAAAAAGACAAAAACAATTCGAGCGACGAATTTCGCGACTCTAAGAAAAAGAAAAAAAAATGTATTAGGGTTAGATAAAGATATTGTCGCATATATGTTCTCCGTGGGATATATCACGTGGTTTTCTAAATCTTGATTCTACCCCTTCGTGCAATGCAGATACAGCCAAGTAGATGCGGGCAATTACGTAACTTTCGTTCAACAATATCATAAAGATTTCGCCTAATTAATTAAAACTTATTATAAAGATGCTGGTGCTTGTTTAAGTATAACTAGATTCTAACTCTGTGCATCCGCACGGAAATATGTTTTATTGTTTAACGAATTTTGTAATATAATTTGTGTTTTTGAGTTTAGATATAATTATTTTTAAAAATATATTTTTTAATAAGTGAAAATATTGATTTTTGTGTTTAGATATATTTTTATAGTATTAAAATTAATTATAATTACAAAAATATAATTTTAACCCGTCCGCTAATATTAATTTAAAATGAACTATTATAAAAACATAATTCTAACTTTTCCGTTCATATTACCTTATAATATAAATATTTATTAAAAGTTTGAGATGTATTAACAGTGTTATTTAGCATTATAATTTTCTAAAATTTAATCAACGAAGGGGTACAACTGGTTTTTCAAACCACATTATAGAGTGTATGTAATAATTTTTATTTTTTTATGTTTTTATTTTGTATGAAAAATATATTTTCGATATACATATATAATTCAAAATTAGTGATTTTAGTTACCAAAATATTTTTAACACAATTTTGAATTTTAAAAAATATATTTTAATATTTAAATTATACATTTGAATTTTACCTATTATTTTATTATTAATTTGTAAATAAATCATAATCGTAAATATATTATATAAGCAACATAAATATCATATCATTTATATCATTATAAATATTTTATATTTCAAATACCATTATTTTTCATATGTGAATTATTTTTTTTCAAAAATTCTAGATATTTTTGATAAAAATTTTTAATAGTATAAAAATTATTTAAATTAGAATCTTTAAATCAAATCTAAATTAATATCTGATTTCTTATTTTTAATCAAATCAAATCAAATCTAAATTACCTATATTTAAGGAACTCTAAAAATATTTAAATTAATTACTAATTTTCGAAATTAAATATAAATAATTATTAAAATTATTTTTAAATACTTAAAAAAAATTAAGAGTGTTTAGAAGCAAATACTAAATGTGCTTCTGTTTTAATATAATAGACAAGGATAATCTTACATGGACAGTATGTGTATGACTTGGTAGATTTATGATCATATTTATTGCTTTATTTTTGGTTTTCGTTGGTCTTGACTCGAAAATAATGTCTTGGTTTTTGTCGCTTTAGAGACTTCGACACATGAATAATCCTCGCACTACATTCAGTGCTGTGCGAAGGTTTATAGGGACTTAAGGCAAACTAAAAAAATAGGGCCTTTTTCATTTAAAAAAAAAAAGGTTTTCTAACAAAAAAATATAATATAATTTTAAAATCATATAAAATATTCAAAAATAAAATTTTAATCTAAAAAAACTAATTAAGACATAATCTTTCTTCCTTCTTTTTCAATAAACTTTTTCACCAAACTCTCATAATCGAGGTCCTTAACTAGTTTTCTTTTTATAGATATGATAGATAAGCCATTCAATATTTTTTGTGACATAGTTGATCGCAACTAAGACCTTATCAACTTCAACTTTGAAAAACTTCTTTCAGCCAAGGCAACTGAAACTGGAATCGTCAGCAATATCTGATAAGCAATCTATGAATTTTTTTTTCTCTTGGACTTTAGGGTTTTGGTCTTATTTTAGGATGTTATAAAGCCGATAATCTAAACAAATCTTAATCAATTTCCTAAAACTATTGGGAGAATGTAATTTTAATCTATTTTCTATATCTATTTCTTTTTTTCTCTCTTATAAACAAAAATAAGAAAACATCTTATGTAAAAAAAATCTCATACCAACCATAAACCACTTAACCACCTCTTAAGAAAATGGAGGCCCTGAAATGGGGATTGAGACGAAAGCCTTTTTCACTATGATAAGCACGACTCTGACTACATTATACGCTTTCCAAAGCAAGTGCAACATTTAGTTGCCCTTTTTTGGGTTAAGGAGACTTTGGACCGTTCGAGTATACACTTACACTCTTACGAGATGATTCCATCAATATATGTTACAGAACTGCTTAGTAAAAATCTGAATACTATATTATACGTTGAATGAACAAATTGACCAATCCAAAAAAAAGAAAAATAGAAATTGGCTTCAAAGCGAAGCACTTGAGTTGAAAAAAAAAGGAAGTTAAAATCATTCCACGGGCCGGCCCACCGTCTCGACCATCATACACGGGTTCCCAATGACCAAATCATCCCACCGTCGTGACCTAACCGACTTGGTCAACCCCGTGAGCCACCCAACCACTTCCTCCATTCCAGGCCGTTTCTCTCTACACGTTCTCACGCACTTAGCCGCCACTAATCCCAGATGGTTCCTCACGCTCACGTCCACCGGAGCACCGATCATCGGATCATATATCCCACCGATTTTCCCTCTTTTTATCATCGGAATCGCCCAATCCACTATAAACGACGGCGAGTATCTGACGTCGATCGCTTTCCTCCCGCTTATTATCTCCAGCAACAAGATCCCGAAGCTGAACACATCCGTCTTCGTGCTCAATCTATCCGCCGTGACGTAATCTGGGTCCAGGTAACCCATCGTTCCTGCAGGCGGAGTCGATTTTACCTTCTGATCATTCGCATTGCACCTGATCGCTAATCCGAAGTCCCCTAGCTTCGCGTTGAGGTTCTTATCCATCAACACGTTCGCCGATTTGATGTCTCTGTGTATGATCGGTGGCTCCTGGGAATGTAGCAGATGTACGGCCTTTGCTATCTGAAGAGCGATTTTGATTCTCTTTCCCCAGCTCGATATCGCCGTACCGGAATTCAAAGCTGAATCGGAGTGAATCACGTCGTATAAGCTTCCGTTACCCATGAATTCCACCACGAGAAGAGGATCCTTGGAGTTATCGGCGCTGAAACCTAGGAGATTCACGAACCTAGGGCTCCGGATCCTCGAGAGGATCTCGAATTCGTTGTGGAACTCTCGGCTGATTTCCCTGGATTTCGAAGGCCTCTTGACGGCGACGAGACGGGAACCGATTACTGCCTTGTAGACGCTTCCGTGGCTTCCACGTCCGAGAAGATTGTTGATCGCGAATCCGCCTGTGGCTGCTTCGAGGTCGCGATGCAGGAAAGGACGAAGTTTGGGGCGGTCTTCAGGGGGAGATTCGGGAGGAGAAGCTTTGCTAGCGACGGATCCGGATGTGGATGCGGAAGATGAGACGACGATGGCGACGGCGGATCCGGCCTTGCAGGAGAGATAACCCATCGAGTCGAGAAAAGGGAGAAGAAGGAAGAAGAAAGGGAAAAGGAAAAGGAAAGGTCTGGAGGCTGGTGGCGTAAGTAGTCATTTTGGTAATTAAGGGACATTTGATTAGACACAAGAAAGTGGAGGAGTCATGATTCTATTTTGTTTGATTAAATATATTTTTTTTCTTAATTATGTCAAAGTTGCTAGGGGTGGGCACTTTGGTTTATTTTCGGGTTCGGTTTGAGTTCGGTTCGATTTGGTTAATTCGAGTTTAATAAAATTTTAACCAAACTCAACTGAAATAAGTTTGGTTCGGTTTGAATTCGGTTTGGTTTAGTTTGGTTTGGTTTTAGTTTAGTTTAATTTTAATTCAGTTTTAAGAAAATCAGTTTAAAGAAAAGAAATGATGTGTTGGTTGGTTTAGGTGAAATTTAACATTCCACCATATTTCAAAAAACTAATATTATGATCTAACTAAAAAGTTAAATAAAATAAATATATTAGTTTTTTGGTTTGGTTCGGTTTAAAATCAAATTGAACTGAACTGTTTGGGTTGTGAAAAACTTCAACCAAATAGGTTATATATTAAAAATGGATCGGTTCAGTTCGGTTTAAATTCGATTGGTTCGGTTGGTTTAGTTCGATTCGGTTTTTGTGCCCACCCCTAAAACTTGCACCTCTAAGTTTTATTATCACTAGATTTATACCTAATAATACTAATTTCAGAATGTACGCCCTATTCTTAAAACAGAAATATTTTTAATGTTTGTTTTCAAATACTTCCAATTTTTTTTAAAAAAATTATTAATATAATTTAAATAAAAATATTTTATTTTATATTAATAATTAATTCCAAAAATTAGTTATTAGTTTAGACTTTTTAGATTTTTTAAAATATTAATTATATTTAATATAAATTTCAAATTATCTGAAATATTTAATAATTAAATTTAGTTAAGAAATATTTATATTATACAATAATATGATGAAACTGATTAAGATTATGTATTTATACTTAAAATTCTATAAGAGTTAATTTGTTATAAGATAATTTGAAACAATTAAACGAACGAATTAGCTAATTATAAATATATTATTTTTATAATTAATAACACAAATAGTAAATAAATATCTTATTTTATTTTATCATAATCAATCGATCTAAAGTATCAAATATTCATATTAGTAAATATTTATACTATACAATAATATAACAGAGCATATTAAAGTTATACATTTTTAATTACAATCTATACGAATTAGTGTGTCAAAACATATAAAATATTAAAAAATAATTTGAAGCAACTAAAATAATGAATTATCTAATTCATATATATATATAGATATATATATAATGTTTATGTGTAAATATCTAAATTCACATAGTAGCATAGTTCATCATCAACACTAGATCGATATAACTTAATTAACTCATATTTTTTTTACTAATATACAAATCTTTACTATATAAAATTAAACTATGGTAATAAAAAAATTATATCTAAGCAAAAAAAAAAAAATATATATATATATATTATATATATATATTAAAAAGAAACAACAAAAAATTCTGGACGGATATGACTGGTTTTGCTTACATCTTAATCTAGATCCAAATTAGTTAATTAGAGGATATTTATTCATCACGATCACACAATCATTTGCTTCAACGGCCAAGATACTGCCACGTGGTAGTTTGTTGTTTTAGCGCGATGGAGGGTGACGATGGACGAGATGACGTGTAATAAAACTATTGGCTAGACACGTTGTAAGGAGTAGTTAGTTCCGTATAAAATCTGAAACAAAAATTTGCTCAGTCGCAAAACGGGAAAAAACCTTAAGCCTTTATCACTGATTTAGCCTGCCGCCGGGAAGACGAGATGACGGCGATCTACTTCTTCCGATGCATGTTACTGTTGCTTGTGATAGCGATGGTGGGTCGTTCAAGTGCTGAGAAAGCTAACTCCTCCGGGGGAATGGTTTGGTCCACTGCGAGAGATGAGGCGGAATTGGTAGAAGATTCCGGCGTGGTAATAGGAGAGCAGGATCAAATCGACGGTGGATTTTCTTCCCTGGACGGGATGTTACACTGGGCTATAGGTAAATTATCTTTCCCCCTGCTCTTCTTCTCCTCTAGATCTGATTCTACCTCTGAATATCTCCGGTAGGTCACTCGGATCCTGCGACACTTAAGGAAGCAGCTCAAGATGCACAGAAGATGTCTCTGGATGAGTTACAGAAGCGTCAATTAGAATTAAAGGTGACAAATTTGCGACTCTGGTGTTAGTTTTCTGCTTGCTTTTCTATGGAATCTAATCTGAAACTAGTTATTGAACAGGAGCTGGTGGAGAAGCTGAATATGCCATCAGACGCGAAGTTGATGCAAATAGCTATAGATGACTTGAACAATTTGTCCTTGTCTCTGGAAGATCGTCACCGTGCTTTGCAGGAACTTTTGATTCTCGTTGAACCTATTGATAATGCAAATGGTAACTTGAATCCTTGGCTTCTTCTTAAATCTCTTATACAGTCACAAGTTTTGTTCCCTTGATTGTGTATTTTCCTGGCTACGGTTTATTCATGAGTCTGATCAGCCGTTGCTGTCAATGCAGATTTGAGCAAATCAGGAGGGCTTAAAGTTGTCGCTGGAGAGCTTAACCATTCGGACCCAGAGGTAAGGAAACTAGCTGCGTGGGTGCTCGGGAAGGCCAGCCAAAACAACCCATTTGTTCAAGAGCAGGTCTGTTTCCGTTCCGTTGTTCTTGCGTAGCAGAACTGTGTGTAGAAACCATCTGAAACAAATCTTGCTTCTTCTTTTGTGAATTTGGTAACAGGTTCTTGAACTTGGGGCTTTAACAACTCTGATAAAGATGGTTAACTCCAGCTCTGCTGAAGAGGCTGTGAAAGCACTCTTTGCTGTTTCTGCGTTGATACGGAACAACATAGCTGCTCAGGACATGTTTTATGCAGAACGTGGATACATTATGCTTCAGGTGAGCACACCAGAAAGACATCACATCAGGCTTTGTTCATTAATTCTCTGAATTGGAAAAACCCAAACACGTTTCTTCACTCTGCAGGATGTAATGAGCAATGGGAGCTTGGATATTAAACTGAGACGAAAAGCTGTATTCTTAGTGGGTGATTTGGCTGAGTTTCAACTACAATACACAGAGAAAGCTGAACTTCCTGTATACAGTGATCGTTTGTTCCTCAAGTCCGTGGTCGATTTGATCGTTGTGCTTGATCTTGATCTTCAGGAGAAGGTGAAAATCTTACAGGGCCCATGACCTTTTTTGCCTCTATGAATCTTGGTGCACATCTCCTTCTAACTTATGCTACTTTGAAATTATGTTTCAGGCTCTCACAGCAATCCAGAATCTTCTTCAGTTTAAATCCATAGAGCCTCGGATTCTCAGAGACTTTTGCGGGTTGGAAGGAGCTTTAAAGACAATGAAGCTGCAGCTGGAGGAATCAATGGCGGATGAAAACAAGAGGGACTATGCTGCAGATGTGGAAAGCCTACGTGGTGAAGTGGAAATGATCTTCCGCGGAAAGCTTGGACTTTTATGAACCCATGATTAGTAAGAAAGCAAACTCCCTGTGCGTTAATTTGTTAGTGGGAAAAGCTTTAGCTGTAGGAGTTGTCGACAAATTTAGTTAACTGCCTTAGATAGATTTAAGATGTGTAACTTAGGAGGATCCTGCTGATCCATTTTGCATGCTATCGTCTCTACTTGAGAGGTTTTCTTCCACACTTCTTAACTTCCATATCCTGTTTGCAAGGTTTTATGTATAGTATTATAAACTTACACTATTTGCTTGATTCGTGTTCCGTGTAAATGATGGAGTTGCAGAGACTATGATGTTGTCGTAGTGATGATAGAATAAAAATAATAATAATAAATAAGTCACAATAGAGATCACTCAAGATGCTGTTATGCTCTTCCTGATCGCGGCTGCAACCGCGCCTATGGATGCATACTCTTCAAGAGCCCTCTCAAATATGTTGCACCGTTTAAACTCTGGTTAGAAAAGCCACAAACCAGTCACCATCACAAACCCAATTGTCAAAACCTGACTGATTTCTGTCGGGAATCTCCACCTTCCGGTACGGTTTTCTTAATGGTGATCTCCACCGTTGTGCAAAGTCCGCTTATAAGAAAGAACCACATTGCCTAAACACCAAGAGCCCGAGACCAGTTCTGCCCCAAGACAGAGAACAGATGAACCGTCGGTTCGCGCACGGTAGGCCTTAGGATTCCGGTGACCGTCAGATTCCATCGTCTCCCCCATAAATCCTGAAGTGATGTCGCTAGATACAGCTTGTTACGTTTGAACTGTGGTTCGAGCTCAAGACCTGACATTGCTTGAATCACGGTGGCCGTAGCAGTTGGGATGAGCTCGAGGGCGAAATAGGTATGAATCGCGTGGAGAGTCAATACGGCTTTCTCGGGGAGAACAAAAAGAGCCGCCTTTATGGTATTATTCAAGGGACCCTCCCTGGATCATCCATGGGAGTGTGATGTGGTAGGTTTAGGGCACAGCTGAATTCTTGATGGGCAAGTAAGAAACAGCTAAGGAAATAGGGAGAGAGAGAGAGAGAGAGAGTCTAGAATTTGAAGAGAGATGACATCGACTTAAAGCAAGGAGAAAGAGCTTGAAAATAGCAAGCCAAGCTATGAAGAAAGCCATGCCGATATTGGTACAGGAACCATAAAGAAAATGAGCGAGACAGGTATGAACTGTATGATACAGTCTATATCAGCCTTCTGATTCCTTTTGGAACCAATTTGGCAACGAAAAAAGCGTAATACAATGAGACGATCACTAAACCCCACGCCTTTATGAAACTCACCATTTCTTTTTTGTTTTTTTTTGTTTTTTGCTTCTGACATTTCAAGTCTCCGGGAGGAAGGAAGAAGAGGAAGATGATACTAATCAACAAAACAGACACAGAATCTTACAAAACGTGTCATACGCCATCGATGAAAACAATGAGAAAAGTCTTCCTTTCTTTCTTTTTCTATTCGTAAACAAAGTTGACAATTGACATTAATTAAAGAACCAATTCTCTCCTTCGTTTTATTTTTTGGCTTTGGAATATTTAATTGCGATAAGATATGGTAATTGGCGTAAGGTTTATTCCATCGTAATTTCTCTGGTCATAGCGTCTCAAGGTAAACCATCATCGGCTCTTCTCTACTTTTTTCTTGTAATCTCAAAATCACAAATCCTATCTGTCGTTTGAATTTGGATCTCTTAGTTAATTCTTTCCTTCGATTTTTTTTTTTTTCTTGGCAAGGATTTCAGAAGAAACCAACTTTTCTCTGTAAGCGTATCTTCCTTAATTAAGTCATGTAAAAAATCTTTAGTAGTTGACTACTGTTGTATTCATCCACTATGTTGATCAGGAACAAATTCTCTAATAGCATCATCGCTTTAATCAAAAACACCTAATAATATCCTTATAACTCCAGAACAGAACAGGTGCTTTCTTTGAAGATTTGGAGTTTAGAATCAAAGATTAAGATGGATGAGGAAGAAGTAGAGGTTTGGGATCGAGCATCAAGAGGATGTAGTCACACTCACAGCTGCAACCCTCCAGGCCCAGAAGATGCTTCTCACTCACACACATGCTTCCACGCTCACACTCATCTCATCATCCCTGTAATACATAACTTACTTTCTCTTATCTTCTTATATGATATATATTCTAAAAGATATTTGAATGGCTTGTTATATAGATTTATGTATATATATATTCATGTTTTTCCAAAAGGATTCGGGAGAGAATGATCATTGTGACGGTAGCAACAAGAAACGGTCATGTGGGAACAGAGAGGCAGTGAGGAAGTATAGGGAGAAGAAGAAGGCTCGCACTGCGTACCTTGAAGACGAAGTGAAGAGACTGCAATCTCTGAATGAGCAATTGATTAGAAAGCTTCAGAGCCAAGAAATGGTGGAAACCGAAATCATCAGACTCCGGACTCTTCTGGTAGAGATGCAAGGCATGATTGATGGTGAGCTTGGTGGTTTCTCGTTTCAGAAGCAATGCAACGGCTCTGGTTTTGTGTTCAAAGAAGGTGATGTCTCCTTTTGTTTTGGTTTACAATCTGATAAGTTGATGGAAATATCACAATGGAAAGTAGAAGAACTAGTAAATAACTTATAAATATGAAAGAACGGTGATGATCACTAGTATGTTAAATGAATAGTTGAATGATGGAATAGCAGAATAATAAACTAGCGTCAACACTTGAGCTGAACGAATTTATGGTTAGTGACTATAAAATACTGAATTTTTTTTGTAGATTAATGGTTTCATTTTCTTTGGTTATCTTTTTAACATATGCATTCGTATATGCTGTAATCACTTTGAAAAAATGTAAAAGATTGGGTAAGTGTTTTGAATGATTAAAAACTACCGTTCTTAAACCTCTTAGACGTAAATAAATGGTATACCATTCATCACCATATTTTTTTTATTTTTGACAAACGGACTTTTATGATTAAGTTTTGTTTGACCTGGGTCGTAATCACACAGATGAATGCGACGTAGCAACAAGGAACGTGATGTGTGAAGCGGCAATAGTGGAGTGCAATGAGGGCCAACCACTTGATGCTATGCACTCCTTTGTTCCGAGTTCACCACCATTCTCACGTTAAGCCTCTACAGGTTGTGGTGTTCTTTGTATATATACATATATACCGGTTTAAATAGGGCATAGAGGTTGGATACATCATATACAAAGATTGTAGTCTATTTCACATATGTCTAAACTAGAGGTACCAAAACATATTTGATTAGATTCTGATTTTGAAATGAGGAGGACAAGGAGGATTGTAGTTGTATGTAACTATGTATGATGATGATGATTGTGGGCTTGGAAGATCTTTGGGGGTCCATTTATAGATTCTATATATGTGGGTATGGTGAAAACCCAAACCAATAAGGATAAGGTATGCATGCAGACATGAGTGTATGTATCATATTTTCTGAGGGCATATGAAAATCCATTGGTGTGGACTTCCCCAATCATTGAATTTGCTTCAAACATTTGCACCTAATAATCATTCTTCCCTGTAAATTTTTACAGGGGAATCAAATATCTATGGATGGGTCAATGATCAGGCCGCAATGTTAGATTTCTCGGGTAATTATTTTATAAAGAGATTATAATAATACTGAAGCACATAATCATAGAGTGAGGTGTTAGGTGCCTCGGCTCCTGTGACTATACTAGACCACTGCTTTTGACACCCAAAAAATAGCTATTATAATCATTGCTTTCCCTTGTGGGTCATTCTTCTTTTACAAAAAGGCTCTTTCGAAATTTAAAATTTTGAAATATACTAATTCTTTTAACCCTACATTAATTTAGAACAATGATGTCTTTTCATCTTTAACCCTACCCTCTCATATTTTGATGTTTTAATATTTCATAAAATTAAAAAGTTTTTGAATATGTAGAAGTTATATAATCTATTTTTTCTGTCAAACATGATCTATAAACAAAATTAAATATGTTATAGTTCCACTACTTCAAATGAGAAAACCTATGGACATGGTCAACACAAGCTAACAATTTCTATATTCCAGATAGATTGAACATGATAATCTTTTTTTCCTATATTCCATGACAGATATCTTTTTTTTTGTAAGACAGATTGATCATGAAGCATGCAATAATGATTGAATCAAATATTCAGCAGTACTGCAACAGTACTAACTAAATTTAAAAGTGTCTAACCAAACAAATAAATCAATTAAACTAACAAAAAAAATAGTAGCAGAGATTAAGCTGGGGGCAAGTGACAATTTGGATGACATGAAATTTATGTTTCCTAATTGCTAAGTTTATCTTAAATGATAATAAAAAGCAGTTTAAATTACAAGTAGAAGAAAACAATTAGAAAGAAACCTGAGGGGTTTATTACCTTTAATTAACAAAAGGTTTAGTTTAGTTAAATGTGTCCCTACAAAAATAATGATGAAAACGAGAAAGGGACAGTAGGAGAGAGTGGAGACCCCAGCGATACAGCTGGTCTGCATATCAATCACCGGCGCGTATGAAATACGCGCCTCAACGTAAAGCGCGTGGAGTTCAGTTTCCAAATGAACAAGAAAAAAAGGTTTGTGTCAGAGAACGTGCAATGCAACCATCTTTTGTTTTTTTGGCTTTTAAAACAGTTTACATTACAGTCTCTCTTTCTCCTTGTCTCTGTCTCTCTCTTTCTCTCTTCTTCTTCTTCCACTCGTGAAAGAAAGACCAGAGAGTTTTCTCCTGATCCCAAATCCGGAAGAAACTTCCTTCATTACTCAGATCTACTCAATTTAAGTACGTAAATCTTCTCTCTCTCTGACTCTCTAGAGAAGATTAAACTTGCAATTTTTCGGTGATAGAATCTTAACATATCTTTCTTCATCTATTACCCAAAGGTTCAGTAACCGTCAGTAACCTGCAGGAAATTCACTATTGTACTGAATAATGTTCTCCACAGAGATTCTTGTGTCGATCATTTTGACTTTTTCAGGTAATTAAGATTACTTTTTCTTCCTCAATCTAAACTAGTAACGTTTACTAAAAAGCTACGCAATACGATTTTTTTTGTTTCCATTAGAAATTTTCGGCATGCAAAAAAATTTCCTTTTCTTCTTTTTTTCCGAAAAAGTTTTTAGTTTTTTTCTCCAACTCTTTTTCTTAAAGTGTAATTTTTTTTTTTTGTTTCTTCTTCTCTTCCACTTGTAACTTATTAGAAGCACGCGAGAAGGAAAATAAATAACTTTTTCTACTGTTTCTGCTTTTTAAAGTTTGATTTTTTTTTTCTTCTTCTTTTGCTGGTGTTTCGCAGGAAGCAGAGATGAAAAATTATAGTGAAGGTAGTATTGTAGATAGGTTTATAAAATTTGTAGCTTAGAAAACAAAAGAAAAAAAGAAAAAAAATAACAACACCTTCAACTAAAATCCAACACAAGAAACCAGAGAGACCTCTTAACGACAACAACCTCTCTGTACACAAGACAACAAACACTCTCTCTACAAAAGCATCACTCTTTCTTCTTCTCTCTACTCTAATACAAGAGAGAGAAAAAGCCATGGATGGGTACGAAGCAACTAGGATTGTGCTCTCTCGAATCCAGACCTTAGACCCAGAAAACGCATCAAAGATCATGGGTCTTCTCCTTCTCCAAGATCACGGTGAGAAAGAGATGATAAGGCTAGCTTTTGGTCCAGAGACTCTAGTCCACTCTGTAATAGTGAAGGCCAAGAAAGAGTTAGGTCTCATGAGCTGTTCAAGGCCAACATGGAGTCAAGAGGAGTTAATTAGCCCTAAGAACAACCGTGGCTCTTCTCTTAATCCGGCTTCTTTACCCTTCTACGCTAATGGAGGAAGATCGTCAAGGGATTTGACCAACGAATTCGAGTTCATGGATGATGTGAACCCAAGAGCTGATTTTTTGGGCTCTGTGCATGCGAGAAGCGGTAGCTGCGTTTTGGACGGTTTAGGGTATGGTGATTCCGATTTAGGGTTTGGAGGTGTACCCTGTTCTTATTTCGCTAGAGGCTTCTGCAAAAACGGAAGTAGCTGCAGATTCGTCCACAGTGATGTGGGAGCTGAATTGGTTGGCTCTCCAAGCAGAATCGAGCTTCTTAGGTCTAACTCGGTTCCTCCAAGACTCGCTCACCACTTCATGACTCGCTCTTCTCTGCCTTCTTTCTCTCCAAAAGGCGTAAACTTGCAGAGTACTGATGCTCAAAGGTTCGACCTTTTTCACCAACTGTTTTTGTTTTGAGATATTCAAAGTGTTTTTTTGTTGTTGTTGTTGAACTTGTGTAAATTTCGGGGACAGAGCTGCTGCTGCTTTGATGATAGGAGATGAGTTGCAGAAGCTTGGAAGATGGAGGCCTGAAAGGATTGATCTCTCTGCTATGGCTTGTCCTGCTTCGAGACAGATCTATCTCACATTTCCTGCCGACAGTAGGTTCAGGGAGGAAGATGTGTCAAATTATTTCAGGTAATGCTGCAAACACAATCAATCACACCTTCTCTTTGGTCTAAATGTATGTTCTTTTGTGACTTAAGATGTTGTTGTGGTTGGTATAGTACTTTTGGACCAGTTCAAGATGTGAGGATACCATATCAGCAAAAGAGGATGTTTGGGTTTGTGACATTTGTGTACCCTGAGACTGTCAAGAGCATTCTCGCCAAAGGGAATCCTCACTTTGTGTGTGATTCCAGGGTTCTTGTTAAGCCTTACAAGGAGAAAGGCAAAGTACCTGACAAATACAGGTACTTAAACTTGTATCAGTACTTAAACTAGATTGTTCCTTGAATCATTGTGTTTATCGTGTTTTTATCCTTCCGTGTAGAACTAACCAAACAACGGAGCGAGAATTGTCACCAACAGGCCTTGATTCTAGCCCCAGGGATGCTATAGGTAAACAAAAACACTAAAGCTCTTGTCATTTTAGGATAACCATTTGCGTGTTCTATACTGATTTTGCCTGTGGCGCAGGAGGGAGAGGGTTTTATAACAACGCCCAAGATGTGTTGTGGAGGGGTAAGTTTGAAGAAGAGATTCTTGAGCTTCAGAACAGAAGGCTAATGAATCTTCAGCTTCTTGACGTCAAGAAGCATTTCCAACTCAATTCCCCTACAAACATTCTCTCCCCGAATCCTTTTAGCCAAACACTCGCATCTCCACGCCCATTGCCGGTGAAAGGAGGAGAATATGTAGGAAGAGAGACAGGGAAAGATAGTTCCAAAGAAGGATCTGATGATGATACAATGAATCTACCAGAGAGGTAGAGTGTACTCATGAACAAGGAGTTCTTTGTGTATCTTGATGCTGTGATGTTGAATAACAACAAGTTTTTTCGGATTGTTACAGGTTGGAGGATAGCTTGCCGGACAGTCCATTTGCATCGTCCGCTCATCATTTGCTTCTGTTTGCTGACTCTGCAGACAATAATGGATCGGATTTGTGGTCGCCTTCCTCTGATAATGACGATAATTCTAGTCCTTCTACGCTCTCTGACTCCTTCAACTCTTTCAACTACCAAATGCCAAGGTTTCAAGATTCAACTACGGTTTCTTATGTTTCTGATATCAAGTAAATGGTGTCTAACATTGCTTTCATGAAATCTAAAATAGGTTACCGCCTATTGGAATGTTACCCGGGAGAGGTGGACCGGCCTGTCGTGTTGGGATATAAGCAGGTAACAAGAGTAGATTAATGGATGGTAAAACATAAAACAACAATCTTGTTAGGTTAATAGTTTATGTGTCTTTGTCACAGGAAGAGACGTGAGAAAGAAAAAAGAAAAACAGAGGAAGTTAAAAAAAAAAACAACTGATAATATAGAGACTCTTAATAACCAAAGATGCAGAGGTGTAAAAAATAAAGCAGGAAAATTTGAAGTAATGAGATAGAGAAGAGAAAAAAAGGAAGATTGTTGTACCATTTCTCTAGTTTTAATGTGTAATGTGATGGACCACACAAGATGATGTAATATGATATGATATATATAAATATATATAGGACAAGAAGTGTAATCTCTCTAAAGATTTACAAAAAGAAAGGGATTACAATTTGGGTTTGAAAAGTGCGAGTAAGTCTGTTCTTGTCCTTGCTAGTTTGCTACCCTCTCACTCTAACCACTCTCCAACTTGAAAAAAAATCCAGAGATGTCCACTTTTGGTTATATTTTCTTCAACTATAATCTTAAAGATTTGATTTCATGTAGTAGGTTTTGTGTCCTCGTTATTAAATGTAACTTTGTGAGGTGGAAAGTGTAAAAAGAGTAGGTGATACATCCATGGCTATTACCGTGATTTTAAATAAAATAAAAAGAAGAATGTTATGGGCATGTTGCATGTAAAGACTAAAGTTATGATCGATATTCAAAATTAAATGAAATGTGTGATATATTATGTGTATTCTTAATGATCTAGCATAGACGGACACGGACAGTGGCGTGTGGTGGGGTACGCGCGGGAGAGTGACTGCCAAAGATACAAATATAGTTTGTGACTTGTGGTCTTCTCACAACTATGTCGCTTCTATTATGTGAATTTGTAAAGAAGGTGCTTCATTTCATCATCATATCTCCCTATGATCAAAAGAATGTGAAGGCTAAATTCTTTTGGGGCTAATAATACACATTTATGATTTGATGTGTGTGTATACAACGATTTTCGATATCTGTCTGACAATTTGACTTAAATTCAGTCATTTCTGAACCCAAAACAAAAGTTTCAGTAGAAATCAAGAGAAAGAGAGAGAAGATAGTTGCTCTAAAGGGGAAAACAAACTGAGAACTTAACTATGCAAAGGGTGCCATAAGGTTTGCAAGATAACTAATTTAAGGTTATAAAACATTTTGGACTTGCTCATTGCATAAATTTATTGTATAAAACAAAGAGAATAAAAACAACTTCGAAATAGAAAAAAAAAAAAAGAGGAAGAAAATGGGATCCCACGAGCCAACACACAGGCCATGTGGTGTGGGGAGATATATGCCAGAAGTTGTGTTTTATGGAGACATCTCCACAAATATGCTCCAAATATCAGTTTTGTAATATTTACATACGAATAAATTAGATGATATGTGAAATGTCAATTTCATGTCCTTTCCCATGTAATTAACATCTTTTTTTTAATTAAAAAATAACTGAAAAAATGTATGGCACCTAGGCTGACATTGTTTTCTGAAAAAAACCTAGTCAGACATTGTTGAACCTAGCAACGCTGAAATTCAAAATTGGTTAGTTAGGAACGTCCTTAAGTTATGTTTACCAATGACCATTCCCAGTTCCAACATGGACAAAAAAAAAGACAGTATCATTCACATCCATAAAAATAGTTAGTGGCAATTAATTTTGAGGGTAGTGACTAGTGAGAGATGAAATAAATTGGTGGTAGGATCGTTAATCGCTGGTACTGGTTTCAAAATAACAGGCACACACTGATATTGAGTAATTTGTTTTTTCATAAAAATAAAAATCGAAACCTACCCAATCCAACCCAACCTACAACTAAATGAAATGAAGAGCTCAATAATTGATGGCTTCTGAAATCGATTATCATCGGCGCGTGAGAATCACAGCTAATGAATGCAAGTGTGTGTCTGGGAGAGTGGAAGCAATATAGAGTGAGAGAAAATTAAAATTAAAATTAAAATGTTGGTGTCAGAGGGTTGAATGCAGCACAACGTGCAATTACCTTTTATTGTCTTAAAATTGGGCCCACTTATTTTTTCTTACATCTTTCCTTTTCAAATTATAGCATTTTCTACAAAAGTATAGTAGAAAGATCTGTTTGAGTAATAATGGTAATATTAAGAGCGAATCGAATTTTGGAAGGCGACGTCATTTTACTGATTGGTGTGGAGCAATTGAATGACGATTCTTCTTTACGCACCCACCATTTATTCAACAAGCCTAAATTTATTTTGTTTTAGTATTACGTTCAATATGTTGTGGTCAAATCCATGTTTAAACGCAGATACATGCGATCAAAATTTATTAGTTTTTAGTATTTAGTTCAGTAGCTGTGGTCAACAAACTTTTCGAATTAACAAACATTTTTTTCTTTGCGAAATTTATATAGTTACAAAACAAGAACTTCAATCAGTGGAATGTTGACATGCACTAATCTTTAAAAGAAAACCAAAACTAACTACATTTTGTTTTCTTGTTAACGTCGCCATTTTACTTAATATAGAACAATTACTTGAATTACTCAAGAAAAATCTGTTTAGACATTGGAAAAGAGAGAGTTCCAAAGTTTGATGTTGTTCGTGAACAAGTTCCTAGGATAGGAGGGACATGATTTCGAAACACTTGCATTGTGGATGCTCATTTCGAAGCTTTTAATTTGAACAAAAAATTGACTAGATTTAATTGATTGACTAGTAAGTTTGAGAAGCTTGGTCCCAAGAGAAAGTCCAAAGTGCCAGAGTGACTTTCATTCATATAATCATATTGCAACGCGAGAAAAAGAACACTAACAATAATCTTTTGGTAATTTTTTTGTTCATTTTCTTCATAAACGACGTTAATTGTCAGTATAATTCTTTTGAAAACTGTTGGTACGTAAAGCTGAGGATAGTTGCAAGACTTTTGAATTTTCTACCTTAACTTTTTTATATTTTTTTTTTTGGCGCTAGTTGTTGAAGTCTGCTAACGAGAACTCTTGTACATATTTAGATGATCCAAATAGTTGCAAACATTTTGAATTTTCTACCCTTTAATAAACGGCCCAAATTTATTAAATGTTGGTTATAAATGGGTCCAATAAATTTGGGCCGTTACAGATCCGGAATTTGAATAGACACCACCACCGACTTCACTGCTGCTCCTGCAATTTTCCAATTCGTTCCGTCCTCAGCTTCAGTTTATCTCTCCTCCCTAAATTTCCCCGGAGACCCTAGTTTCTCCGATTTCAACCGTGAAAATCAATCACGCCGGTTGAGATTTCTCGATGGGAAAGTGGAACAATCGATCCAGATTCAACCGTCGCAGATCTCCTTCGCGATGGTATAGCGACCGACATTCTTCTTCCTCTTCTGGTATTTTCCTTGATGTTATTATCACATTCATCTGATCTTAATTTGTTTTAGTTCTTTCTCCTACAATTGTTTGCAGAGCTATTGAATTAGGATTTTATTTTTCTTTCTAAAAACACTTTCTTGTCAAACGGAAAGTTGAGATTTAACTGTGTTTTCTTTCTTGTTAAAAGGTTATGGTGAAGACGATGGGATTCCAGTATGGGAGAAGAGATTCTGTGAGGTGATTGGATCAGTGCCATGGCAAAAAGTTGTTGAAGCTAGTGACTTCAAGAGCTGGTACCAAGGTAATGTAATCACTTGGGATGATTCTGCTTGCCTAGAGACTTTTAACAATGAGAAAAAACGATTTTGGTCACAACTTAATGGCCTCCATTGCGATATTTCTCTTCCTGATCCGGATCTTTACATTAGTGAAGTAGACTGGGACGATTTTATTGACCCGGAACTGATCTGGGATTTAGAAAGTGCTTACTTTGCTCCTCCTGATGAGGACAAGATTGGTTTGAAACGAGGGCGTCGAGAAAAGAGTTGGAGTGGTTGTAACCTGGTGCCCATTGAAGAGACTCGTATGTTGAATATTCCTTGGGAAGGCAGTGTTTCGGGGAAGAAAACGAATGGCTGGAACGTTTCAGAGAGTAGTACTGACCATCCAAAAGATAGTGCGAGGCATTGGGAAGCTAAGCCTAGTTTTGGAAACGAGAAAGAAAATGATACTACATCTGTGGATTGCTTGAGGACTGAGGAACGGAGGGAGATCCAGTGGAAAACCAAAGATAATGGTGATGAAAGGTGGGAGAACTCGGGCCATGGAAACGAGGGATGGGATAAGTCAGGACATCAAAACAAGAAGGCGAAAGGGTTTGAAAGTGTCCCAGCAGAAGAGTATGAAATGCACGACAATCCTTGGGAAGCAAAGCCTAGTTGTAGAAAGGAGACAGCAGAAGATACTACTTGGGGAGGTTGCTCTGGTCAGGTGTGGGAGGATAGAGGTTGGGGCAGTGGTGGTAAATGGAGAAACCGAGATTTGGGAAATGAAGTTATGGAGATGAAGGAGTGGCCTAGTACGAGATATAGTCAGGATTATAGGGAGCCAAAGAGTTACAACCCATGGAGAGCTGGCTCTGTGCCTGACAATACAACTAGGAGAGATTATGGAGCAAATGCAGGCGGTTGGCAAACACGTAAAGCGAGTGAGACTAATCGAAGAAACTGGGATGTGAACCAATCAAGTGATGGTTGGGGTAGGCGAAGTAGAGAAAGATATAACTCGTCTGGCTACAATTCTAACTACAGAAACTCCAAGGCCTATAAGAGATGGTAATCAGAACAGGAAGGTCAATTTCTCATCTAAGTAGATGAAATGATCCATTGTTTTTTGTATGGATGTCTTCTTGTGTGTTGATGTCTTAGTTTAAGCTGGGTCATTGATCCAAAGGTTTCTCCTTCTTCTTTTTTGGGTCAAAACAAAGGTTTCTCCTTCAAAATCAACATATGTAGTGTGTATATACGAGTACGAGTACCCTTTTTTAATGATGATGTTTCATACTAAACTATTCAGAGTTTTTGCCTCTGGGACTGGATTGATAATATGATAATGTTTCCTTCTATAAAGCTTTGTTGTAATCACATTTACCTAATCTATTCCAACTTCAAAAAAGAAAGGCATATACACACATGATTACACTTATGTTTCGGCTCCATGCATCCCTTCAAAGCTTTCTCATCTCATTTTTATATTGAAAACTTAAAAATTCTGCTTTTTTTATAGTTTAAATATATACTGGAATAAACAAAGCTATACGCTTCACTTTCAAAACAACAGGTTGGTCCATTATGATGGGTGCATCTGATTAACAATAAAAAAAAAACATTATTTGGACATGGTTAATTAGACGGTGATCAAAGATCAAAAAGAGGTTGAAAACAATATATTGTTTAACGCAGAAGCTATCATCCCATTGCTACAGTTTCAATACAAAGCAAAGTTAACCAAAGCATATGAGACTTTACTCTATTATTCTGTATCATTAGGACAAAAACAGTAGGTAGACACAAAATTTAACAAACAACAAATCCTTGAACTTTTTTTCATCAATTCGCAGAAAATGAGAATACTTGAACTTACAGTAAGCAACGGTTCTTCTGTTGATTGCAGTAGACACAAAATTTTACAGTAAGCAAATGTCATTTTATCATCTATTCTTGGAATGACCCTCTTTGATTTTACAAATTGAATAACAAATTACATATATAAACCAAAACGTATATGAAAATCCAAGGAAAAAAAAAACACCAAATAGTATACTGTATCTTTCACTCAACCCTGATTCATCAACAATGTCTTAAAACTTGACTTCTTCTTCTCTTCTACGTTGTCTTGTTTTGGGACCCACCAAACCCTGATGCTCTTGTCAAGTCCTCCACTGTAAAGCATGAAGCCAGTACCAACATTGTTGGGAGAAGCTTGCAAGCATTTGACCGGACCTTCATGCCCTTGAATGACTCCAATTTTACAGAGCATGCCACTGGCTTCTCTCTTCCACAGTCCAATGCTCTTATCAGCCGATCCACTACACACCATCTCCCCAACCACACACATACACAGAACTGCTATCTTATGCCCTCTCGTCTCAAACCCTAATCTCCATTCCTCAAAGTCTCCTCCTTTCTCTCTCTTCTCCCATCCCATCACAAACCCATCTGATCCTCCCCCGTATACCCATTTCCCATCGCCGGAAACCACCACCGAGTTCACTGAAACCTCCGCACGTCCCTCCAATGTCGCCTTCAGAACATGTAAACAAGAAGAAGAAGACGAAGACAAAGGAGAATCAATCTGCTTTCTCTTCTCTTTCCCCCAAATCTTGATCTTCCCATCCGCAGACGCAGAGTATACTCTGCCTTCTCCGGCGACAAGGCCATTGATTGCGTCGTCGTGAGCCTTGATCGATTCAAGACACTTGAGATCCGACAATCTCCAGACTTTAAGTGTCTTATCCCACGACCCGGAGTAGATTATCCCGGCGTGGACCGCAAGGCAAGAAATGCTGTCTGCGTGTTCTATCCAAAGACGCTTGTGGTTCCTCCTCGTCTGAACGTAATTACTCTGTTTCATAAACTTCCCCAAGTAGTCTTTGGTCGTGGGAAGCGTATCGACAAGCCTGAAAGCGTTCTCGGAGCTTCTTCGAGATACTTTCCAGACTCTGATTCTGCTGTCTTGATGCGCCGTGAACACCTTGCTTCCCACGCTAACCAGAGCCTTCACAGACCCATCGCCTTGTCCGAATTTCGCGAAGATCTTGAGATCTGGCTGTTGCCAGACGATGATATCCTTTCCCTGAGACGCGCTCAGCAAGAACTCGCCGCATAGCGCCAATGAAGAAACAGAGCCTACGTGAGCGGAGAGGACGGCGAGTGGCTTGTACGCGCCGGTGATCGGCGGCGGACGGAGAGTGGTCAGGACGAAGCTTTTGGATGAGGCGGATGGGCTGAGCGAATCGTCGGAGTCGGTTCCGTTGCTTGTGGTTGTGGAGGAAGAAGATGAAGACATTGACAAGACTCCTTCTTGGATTGATCCCACCATCGCATCAAGAGATTCAAGACTTATTCTTTCTGGTTCTTTTTGGGTACAGAGAAACAAAAATTGGAGCGTTTGAGGAAATGTTAAAGGAGTATTTAAAAAGGGTTAAAAATGAAGTGGATGGTACAACGGCTACATTTGACAGATGGCACAGCCTCCTTTTTTTTTTTGCCTTTTGCTTATCATTTCGCATTTCTATGTTTTCCTTATAAAATAATGATTATTTCATTTTCAATTCGTATTCATGGAATCTTATAATATATATATGTAACCAATTGAGACGCCTTGAATTTAACGTGAGTAATATACTAACCGATTGATCGTTGGTCTGTACTTGATAATGTGGATACTGTAACGTTAAGGGTTATGATAATTAAGATAAAATATTGCGAATAAGTTGGTAGTAATCAGCAGACCTCGTATTTATTTAGTTGCTAGCTTCGTAACATATTACAGTGACGAGCTAATCCTCAACTAATATTCCCAAGACTAATTAGGATTATGACAATATTTTGGTTTACAAATTGGTAGATGGACCAATAGATCAATTATAAACGATTTGATGCATATTTATACAGTCCTTTTTGTTTGGATTTCCCCTTATTTATATATATATATATATATATAGATTGGTTTAATTTTATTGATGGTGGGAGAAGACAAAGATATTTTAGGGAGTTTTGTCATTTAATACGGAAACCAAGATATCGGCTTTTAAGTTAAACATAAATTAGCGTGATGAAATGGATTAATGGATTATTTGCTTAACAACAATTAAAGATAGCTGAAAAAACTATATCAAAATGTAAAGATTTGGGGATAGTAAATGAGAGATCGGAGAGGGAGCGTAAGTTCACGTGACTCCGATTATGTATCATATCTACCAAATCAGACGTAAATGTTTATGACATGACTTACCTATTTATTCTTTTCTTACATCAAATATCCATTTATTCTTGGGTTCTTGATTTGTTGAGTTGTCTGTACGCAATTGCCTAATTGGTAAGTGTTTATTCCAAGAGTTGGAGAGAAGAATATCTAGATGAAGGCATGGATCTAGATACCAAAATGACAATGTCGAATCACATGCATTCAAGGATATATAACAGTATAACACCGAACCTTAAACTTCCCTCCTTCGTCAATTTCTGTCAGGAGCCAATGATTTTATGCACTGCGTCAAAGAGCCATGTATTGATGGATTGAACCAAATTTCCTTCATAGTTTGGACTACTAACATGTTTCTTCAAAATTGTGACCTTGGCTTGTTCATCTTGGATGCAATTTTTGTCCTTTGGTTATTATTCGTTTTCGGTATATTTGATTATAATAACATGCGAGAAATGATGAATTTCCAATTAAAAAAATAATTGACAGAACATGTATTAGCCAATATCTCACTCTCATAAAATACAAGTATATTGTAGGTCACATTTCACTTTCTATGTAGGATTTTGAAAGATTTGTTTATACATTGTCAATTCCCTTTTGATACCTTTTTTAAATCCCACTTGGTATTGAAAATCCATCTGTAAACCAATGTGACTGGCTTTTTCTTATGGTAACAAGACATCGATATAGCTTTTTAAACTTTCTGATCTAACGATCACTAGAGTACCACTTGTGCTTCGAAAAGGGTTTGTTCATAGCTCGATCGACAGAAGTTTTTCTTTTTTTTTTAGCTCGACAGAAGTTGATATGGTTATATTTCCTTTAGTATTAATTTTCTTTATATACCTAAATAATCATTTTGTACTCACCCAAAATAATATAGGTTTTTTTCTTTCTTTTGTGGATCGCCACAAAACTACTTGTTTTTGCTTATTCCTGTCTAAATAATTTTCCTTAGTATATGCATTATTAGGACATCAAACTATAAAACTAAAATGCAACTTGCTCGTATATATATGGTGTGCGACTCTCAAATACTTGACTCCTAAAACCCGAGCAATACTTCAAGATCCTAAGTTCATGCTGTGCAATCAAAAAGCATGTATTAGAGAACCTGTACATTATTAAATCCTAATTTTAAAAAAATTACTATGAAAAATAAGCCTTGAAGTCAAAAGTTTGAACAAAGACGCGTGACCTGGAGTCGTGCGAGAAAAAAATAAAAATCACAAAACTATGAAAACGCAAGGTCATTTGTGTTGACCTTGACCGGGCAAAAGAGCCAAAGAGTTGTGAGGTCATGAATGAACATGTACTTAAATCAGATAGATTGCTTCCCTTCTTCTTCATCATCTATAATCATCAACTAAGAAAAGTCGTCTTCTTTGACTTTTCTTTGTGAGAGATCAGATCGAAGATGGCGGATGGTTTCACGGATGAGCAGATCCAGGAGTTTTACGAAGCCTTCTGTCTCATCGACAAAGACTCCGATGGTCTGATTCTTTTTACTCCGAGGTTTGATTCACAGTTTTATCAGAGTCGATTAGTTGATAATATATGTCGTATAATTTGAAACAGGATTCATCACGAAGGAGAAGCTGAAGAAAGTGATGAAATCGATGGGGAAGAATCCAAAAGCAGAGCAGCTTCAAGAGATGATGAGCGACGTCGACATCTTCGGCAACGGTGGCATCACCTTTGATGATTTCTTGTACATAATGGCTCAAAACACTTCTCAGGTCTATATATATACACTTTTCTTTTTATAAAAATAAAAACATTAATTTGATTATTAATAAACTTAAGAGAATTAATATTGAAATGAAAAATTGGTATTTAGGAATCGGCATCGGATGAGTTAATAGAAGTATTCAGAGTGTTCGACAGAGACGGAGACGGTTTCATATCTGCACTTGAGGTAAATTCTTTTTTCTTCGAGTCTTCTTTCAATATCTTCTTGAACCAAAACTTATATAATAAGAAGAGATCATAAACAAAGAATATATATATACTTTATAGACCTATATAATCATGTAAAAAATTAATGGCAGTTGGGAGAAGGAATGAAGGATATGGGGATGAAGATAACGGCGGAAGAGGCGGAGCATATGGTGCGAGAAGCTGATCTCGACGGTGATGGTTTTCTCTCTTTCCATGAGTTCTCCAAAATGATGATCGCTGCCTCTTATTAGCCTTTTTTTTATAAAAGCTATGATATAAGGGTTTGTGTTTTGCACTTATAAGTTGGTAACTACTTTCCAATATGTTAAAGCGAGATCCTATCATGTATTAGTATTATTGTATTTTCCCAACATGCAATAAAATTCTCTGTCCCATATCAATGATTTGTTTTGATCAATTAATCAGCCGATTAACAAAAAGGTTGAGATTTTAGAGCATCAGCAATGCTAGTACCTCATTAAGAGTACTTAAACAATATAATAACATTAAAGTTATGTTAAGAATCTCAATTTAAAAATGAAGATTTTGTTGCCTTTAATGCAAGAATCTGTAATGGATTCTTCAAAAAAAAAAAAAAATCTGGGCGAAGCGAACTCCGACGCCGAGCAGCCCGCCGTCGTGTGTCAAGGTGGAGAGAGTTCCGACGAAGGAAAGCTCCATGATACTCCTCGAAACCTCAGGACTTGTGGGTCGAAGCAGAGAGATAATGATTATGGGTCGCCGTCGATGGCGTATTCGAAGCCGTGGAAACAGAGCATCAAAAGGAAATTGGACGAGATAGGTCTCGTTTCAGAGCGAATAATTCGATGGGTTTCACGAAATTACAAAGTCTTGGTCCACAGCGAAGAGAATTTCTCCACTCTATCATGGCGATGGAGAAAGGAAAAAGTGTCGAAAAAAAGAAGAAAATTTTCTCGGAGAAGAAAGAAAGAAGAAAAAAAAAATTATCTCAAAGTGTCTGTCCAATGAAATTATAGCACGTGGAATTAAGTATCGATTCTTATAGATCTTATATAAGCATCGATACTTGTCTTTTATTTTCTTTTTCATTTAAATTTGAGTTTAAGAATCCCTTAAAATTGGGTCAAGTACTCGCGTTGCTGATGCTCTTAGATACTACGTAAGTTGTGAACTGATTTTGTGATGTGATGTTGACGACGACAACCACATAAACAATCTTTGGTAAAATCAAAAGGTTGTTATTTTCTTGACCCACATAAATGATTGATTCAAGTTTCAATTTTTTAAAAGAATGGCATATACAGTTATACACACATGAATACACTTATGTTTTGGCTCCATGCATCCCTTCAAAGCTTTTTGACCCAAAGGAGGGGTTTTCTTCCTTTATACATTAGCAAGAATTTCACCATCTTGGATTCTTGATCCTGCTGGTACGAACTCGGTTGGTAGCATCATTGTAGAAACTGCTCTCAACATATCTTCATCTTTGATTTCTGATGTCGTTTTCTTGAAGATTTTGGAGATCTGATATCTGTTCGTGGGGGCAGATGATTCGTCTAGTATGACCGGAGAGAGTGGTCGTCTGAAAATGATCACAACAACCCATAAGGATATAACTTCTTGTTATCTAGGATAAACCCACATCTTGGTTGAGCACAACCACAAGTCCGTAGATGAGCTTCATAAACCAAGATCAGTGGCGGAGGCACATGTTATGAGCTGGGGTCATTCGCCTCTAGAGAAATTTAAAAAATTGGTGTAATTTAATAAAGCTTAATCTTAATGCCCCATCTATAAAGGTATGTATACTTCTATTTGCCTCCAATGAAAAAAATTTCTAGCTCCGTCACTGACCAAGATGCCAGTGAAAGATCACCGTTACAGGTTAGATTCACAGACTTGGATGATTTCTCACCATTGTTTGACTTGTCTCGACATTGACCCAAATATGTCAAAGCTTCTCATGAGTCATATGACATTGATGCTATGCATGTAGGGATTGGAAACAAATGCAGATAGAAAAGTAAAGATCACATTTTGAAAAGGGTTTAAAGAAAAGAGTGAAGCAGAGAAAGATGGTGTATTGTGGACAACATCAATAGGCCTAGGTAAGGATATATCAGATATCTCCATATGCCAAGCCTTGTCAAGGGCTGTTTATGTAATGACAACATATATTTCATACATACCTAAAAGAATTTTTACCGTTTTCTAGTTCACACTACTACTAATTGACAAGAAACTATTGGAAACTATTTATCAAAAACTATTGGAAACTAATAGAATACAGAACTAAAAAAGTTTTTTTTTTTGTGAAAGCAGAAAATGAGATTCAAAGAACAACTAAAAAGTAAAAAAATAAAATAAACAAAGGGATCCATCTAGTTAGACGTGGAAGCCAAACTCTCGTCACTAAGCAGCTCCTCCCAGAAACCATCGTCTAATTCTCTCTCGATCACCATATCGTCTTCTTCCTTCATATTCCTCTGTTTTCCATACCCTTGCATCTCCAGAGCCAGAACTTCCAATTCCGACATCGAAGAACCTTTTTCCCTTTCTGCTGACTCATCCTCAAGCTCCTTGAGCCTTTTATCTCTCTGTTTCAGTAGCTGATGCAGAAACGTAGGGCTCTGCATTGCTCTAGCTAAAAAAGACATCATCTGTCTCTGTTTCCTCTCTGCTCCTTCGATCCTCTGCTCCATGGCTTTGATGTAGTTTCTCGTGGTTTGGTGCTGCTGTCTCAGGCTCACCAGCTCCATCAGTAGCAATTGCTTCTCCCTGCGAAGCTCGATGCAAGGATCATGGATCGATGGAGACGATGATGAGAATGTGGCTCGTCTCTTGATGCTCTTAAGCAACTGTCTTTGTCCCACCAAGAACCCTTCGTTTGCAAACTCCCATCTCTCTGCTTCTATCTTCTTGAAGCCCTGTAAAATTTTTTATACGTCAATATTCAAAGTTGTGTTTGTAGCATCTAAGGTTTTGAAAGTCTATCTACATGAATAAATGTGATTAAATAAAGAACATCAATATTGGAGTGAGGTGTAAAAATTGAATTTTTTATTAGGAGATATACAGAGAATGGAACAAGTGGGCAACCTTAAAGCTGATTTGTGAATAAACAATAGGTATTGGGATAAGATTGCTGACTGTTTCTTACGTATATTTTAGAAGCCAACTTGACACGAATCAAGATTCTAGAACTTACTAAACCTTCTTCTACTCCACTACCACATGGAATCCACACTTTCGATGTTTCTAGAAATAACAAGCTTTTGCAAGTAAAATAACAAAATTGAAATTTCAATATCGGTTTTCATTACCAAGTTAAGTGCAACCAAATTTTTGAAGTTGAATCCAGAATACTTCGCTTGTTATTCCACCAACTATTAATAAGATAAAGGAAAACAAATGGAGAAAAAAAAAAAAAAACAGAGCACTGGTTTCTCTGTTTTTTTGTTTTTGTTTTCCCTGTCAGAGAACATAGACAAAAGAAAAACAGAGAGAAGACTCACGTAAGTGTTAAGTTGTCTAATGAAACTTGAGAAATTGCTGTGTTTGAAGTGTCGAGGAAGGAGAACGGTAGAGAAGGAATGCAAATCCCAAACGACAAAACTAGTACCTCCTCTGTTCCAAGATACGATGTGGTCTGTGTTTGGATCTTCCACAATCTCGAATGTCTTGATTAAAAATGGAGGAGGACCGATTTCGTTCAATCCTTCGATCGGTCTTGGTGGTGGTGGTGGATCAAATTCTTGGAAGAGAAACGGATTCATCCTGAAACGAAAAAAGACAAAGGCTTTTTCTCTGTAATCAAAATTGATCTTGGGATCAATGACGCAGTGAAACAATCTCCGAAATTGGGTTTTTTCGTCGGAGTTACATGGTTAAAGTAAATTGAGAGGAGAATAAAAAGTGAAGGAAGTAGATTTGGGTTTTAGAGATGGAGATTTACTTTGAATTTGTTCTCTCTGTTTTTTAAGTTCGTTTATGGCAGTTGAGAGGGAAGGGGAAAAGTGAGGAAGATAATATCCACGTAAGCCATTCGAGGTGGCTTAAATAGGAAGAGTGGGAAAGTGATTAATGATATTAAAATTGATTAAACAAAAAATTTATATTTAGTAACTCGTCTCTCCCAGCTTAGGAAATTAGAAAGTTCTGGAACGGGTAACAAGAGAAAGGTATCGTCGAAACTTCTGGACCTTCAAAGTGAGGACTGTACGGTATGGTTTCAATACATGGGAAGTGGGACCCACCCAAATATTATAAAACTCGAAAAAAAGTGTTGCAATGGCAATTCGCTATTTGGCTAAATCTTGTGCTTATTGTCGACGTGGCGGTTGGTCCAGCTAGGACATTCGGTTTGGGGTCGGATAAGAAGGCATGATTAAAATAAGGATTATTCGTGGAATTAATAAAGTTTCCGACAATTATACGGCCTTGCCATTAGTTAACTACTTACTGGCAGCTCTGGTCCGGAGAATAAACGGGATAAGTAAAAATCAATAGCTACCAAAATTATTGATTTTTTTTTTTTACTTTAAAAAAATATTTCAATACATTTTGACTCTTATTTTGCTAGAAAAAAAAATTACTTTTTTTGAAAGCTGATATAAGACTACATAGTTTTGTCTTAAGTTGAAGAACCATTTATGTTGGGCCGGTTCAATGTTACTAGTTACTAGCTAACAAAAATTCTAGTAATAAATTCTGAATTGGCCGCTGAAAACAGAGTATTTGGAGAAAAAACAGATTGTTTATCTGACAACAAAAAAAAGGTAAAAAGAAAATACAAACACTAGAAAACAAATTATATATTTTGACCACATAAAACAAATGCTAATTGGTCCGCTTGGACTTTTCCTTGTAACAGTAGACTCTCAAGCCACCTTTTCATTGCTGATGATCAGATAATCCTCGGACATGTGTCGAACAGTTTTGAATGACACTTGATGCCTTGTGGTACGTATGCCTTTCCTTAGAGTTAAAGCTTTCCTTACCGTTGAGGTCAAAAAAAAAAAAAAGCTTTCCTTACCGTTAAGCTTATAGTGCCAGACTTTTTATGACTCTGTCTGTCGGGATCTTTAAAATATTATAGTAGAGATTTACGACGAATTATAGAAAATATGGATACTGATTAACAAAAGCAATGTGGAGACATTTGATTGAATCAATTCTCATAACATTTGTAACGTAAAATTTCTTTTAATATTTAATAATGAATAATTTAATTTTAATTTTGTAAATATGGCTTAGCTTGATTAGGAAAAACTGCCAAGCAAAAAAATAAAAAAAATCCAAGTAGCACAAGATAAACTTTGATCTAAAAACTTTACAATGATAAGCCTCCATTATTTTAAAAAGCCATCAATGACAACTAACTAATCTTATTATTATTATTAGGCGTAATATGGTCCGGCCTAAGAGCAACAGAGCTTAATTATGAATGATGAATCAAGTTAAACATGGACAACGAAAATGAAGGTATGACTCTCAGAAGCTTATCTCATATTAGGCCAACAACCAAGTCCAATATATAGAACCTATCCAAAAGTTAGTTTTAAGAGTGGTGAACTCATGACATTTTATAAGGAATTAGTTAGTCTCATTTTTAACAGATGTGAAATATTTAACACTACTGCCCTTTTAAGTTTTAAGACAGCAACGTTCTTGTCAGGTACTAATCTGGTGGTTGGAATTTGGGCCTTTTCCATTTTGCTTCTCTCCAGCTGGACATCGCATGTCTTAAGGATCGAATTGTTCTACTACAACTTGATGGAAGTGATCCCATATTAAGCCCATAACCAAACCCAATAAAGTTCATGGCAGTAGGCGATCCCATTCTTAACCGATGTGAATATCTAACAGACTTTTTCTTTTCAAGTGTTTCTCTAAAGGTCTGTTTTTGAGCTTATGAAGACAAGACAACGCAATTTTTAAAATGTGTGCAAAAAGGAGACTTACATAGTTACATGACGATAATGTTGATGATACACACATAGCCATGTGTTTGTTGATGAACAGGACCGCACACAACTGAAATATTCATGGAAGGATCCGCCATGAACCCCACCGACCCAGGGCCACCTTATAAAGAAGTCCACTTACAAAATCAATCTTATATATTAAGAGTTATGAGTTAAGAGTTTCTAGTGTGAAAATCTGGATTTTTTTTCTAGTTAAGAGTTAGTATTTACACCTTAAAAGAAAAATTTAGCTACAAGTTGATGTTGTTTTTTTGTAAGAATTTAATTTGTTAAAAAGGAGAATTAGACTTGTTTACGTTGAAAATCACAAAAAGGAAAAAAAAATTATGATGGTTTCTAAGTTTTTTGACAAAAAAAAAAAAAATGAAAGATCTTATCCTATTTCATTAGATGTTTAGTCAGAACAAAAAGTATATATATATCGCACGTTAGCAAAGTCAATTTAAAAAGTATTATCACATGTTACCAGAAAATAACTAAACTCAAAAATGAGTCGTGAGTGTTGTGTAATGATACTTTGTTGACTTTTTTTTACACCTATACTTTGTTGACTTATGTGAATGAGACAGATTGTTGCCAAAAACTGAATTGTGTCAAAAATAAACAGAACATGAAAAAATAAAACATCAGAGAATGAGACGCAATACTAGTGTGATTTACTATTTTACATTTAACTGAGCGTTTATTACTTATTAGGGTCTTCTTGATTTTTGGTTCGGATGGAATGATAAATAACACATTTACTGATCAATGTTCAAAACTTTGCTAGATGGTAGTTAGATGTTCGGTATAAGTTTAGCCATAAACCGATTAATCGGAGCCTAGACATACATAAAATTCTTATTTATTTTCTTAATATTTTTAAATTTTATGAAAAAATATGATCTCTAAATACAGAATACTAAAACGTTAGCAATTCGAGCTTTCACACCTATGTTAGATAAGAGGTCAAGAATCAAAATCATAAGAAGAAAAAAATAATTAAACCATATTTTACAGTTCGAATAACTAAGGGTTTTTAATGATTTTTTCATCATTAATTATTCAAAATGATATTGTAAAAAAAAAGAATGTCTGAACTAATCTGAACCCGATTTTAGTAAAATAAGGACGTACAGCATGCCCGCCTAGTTAGATACTGACTAACCGATTTTGATTACAATGTTTTTCCTATAAGGATTAGGGATATGTATTATATATCGATTAATTGTGGATCTCAGAAAATTAGGAGTTAGGTCTAGATTTTCAAAGCCAAAAAAAACTGTTTTTTTTGCTAAATCCATTTTAAACTTCTTTAATCAGATCACTTGTCAATAATGACATTAAAAAGTAAAGCATACTGATAAATCAATGATTAATCCAGTTGGATCTGACATTTGCGATCCATGTGTAACTCTGCTTTAATGAGACCACCTACTTTATCTCCCATGCAATATTGCAATGCATACCGAGACATCACACGACTGCCTTATTCTCCTTTCCAAGCTAGCTAGTCGGTCCGAATAGAGCATGCCAAATTGCCAATACATAAGACCAAAAGGTCAATAATCATATAAGTCAAAACCATATAACAACAAAAAGTTTCAAGCCTAAATAATAAAAAACCTTATCGTCCCTATAAGTTTTTTAACTTTGCAGATAAGTACTACCCAACCATATATAACAACAAAACGTTTTAAACCTAAATTATAATCCATCTTGTTACTGTATAACTCCTTTAACTTTGCAGATAAACTTCCCAACCATATCACCTTTAGTAAAAAGCCAGTGGGTCCAATGCCCCAATCCATGTATTGGGAGTCTCTTTTTAGGTTAAAATGGATGGGATCTGAAGAAGACTTGCCTACTTTTTAAAATTATGGGGATTACAATCGAAACTTATAATCATTGCATAACCCATGCTAGGGATGGGATCTGAACACCATGGATTCAACCGATTGAACTACCCATTTTCGCATTTTGATATGAATATATATTAGCAGACAAGGCCTTCGACCTTCAATATTGTCTATGTTATTATCAAATATACCTTGCCTTGGTTAGTGATCAAAACTCAAAAGTACTATCATCATAGTTGGTAGCTTTGTTTCGAAATTCAACTTAACTATACCATTTTATTGGTTAACCGAGAATACGAAGCCTAATGCCAGACTAATTCTCGAGCATATAAAAATATTGAAATACTGTTTGCTTGCATATACTATTGCTGATATACTTAACGGATTCAATACTGTAAATATTGGTGTATAAACGAAAAAAAAAAAAAACAGTTATAAAGGTCATTACATTCGATTTTAGGTAGTGCTATCTATCAATTAAAGGAAATCCACGCAGGCGTTTTGAGTAGATTCTCTTGATACTGTTCTATCCACATCCTTTATATGCGGTTGTTGCCATATAGATATATAACTTTAAACTTTATACATTTCCAATTTGTTTTTACTCACAGACACACGCACATGTGTATAATTCTGATGGGTCCAGCAAGTGCCGCATTTTGTGTCCGCACAATACGTGTGACTTACAAATTTTTGCATCCCAAAAACAATAGATTCAAATCATGTAACCCTGCAACTTCAATGTATATATGGTATACACATGTGTATGAGACTGTAGATTGGCGAGGAGCCAATGTCATAGTACATATAATTGAGGTGCGATATGAGAACCCATTTATGTTGTCTGCCAGAATATCACACTAACATTTCAATACTTTTTAACCCAAAAAAAAACATTTCAGAAACTTCGATACTTCGATTTAAATTTACACACGTTTAGTCAACGCTAAATTTCGAATTACCAACGATAGGTGGTTTAAAAAGAGTGTATATGTGGCCACTAAATATTGGAATATTGTTTATGGCTCCATGCTATTTTTATTTTACTCCTGTTTGTTTTTTTAAAAAAAATTATAGTATTTGTT